CTTAGGAGATTTGCCTAAGATCTACAATATATACACACACACACACACTACAGATTATCTCAATTTTTTTGAATTGGATGGAAAGGTGGGAGAAGACAAATACAAAAGTAAGTTCTTGGAAAGTTCCTTCAAATATAATATTAAATTATGGACAAATTATACTATGCAACACATTAATTACATTATTTATGATAGAGTTTTTTTTGTAGTGATTTCATATCTAATTGCGGTTATTTTTTTTTTTCAACTGCAATCATGGCATGATTTCCAATCACAACGTAAAGCCTTAACTTCTTATTTTGGTTCGTGATCAATCACTAATTACTTTGATCGCATGATAATAGTCAATCTAACGCATGATTATGTTACTAATTAGGATTTCAATTGTTTGGTTTTAAAATACAGAAAAACATGATATCGTTAGTAATGAATATTAAACACATTCCATTAGAAGTTAAAGAAGATAATACATTACCGATGAGTTTATGTTGAAGCGCAACATCTGAAATTCGCCAAATTTCCATTATAGCTTGTAAGATAAATAGAACTCCAAAATAAGAGACGCTTGTGTGGTACCAATTAAAATCCTTCCATGATCAAGTCAGTAATTTAGAACTATAATAAAGTTATTTTGAGCTCTCATGGATGTATTTTTTGTAATGTAGATATGTAAGCCGTTGTATTTATGTTCTTCATATCGAATCTTTTTGGATTGGGTAATGCCATGAATCCTTAGAGTTAAGGGGACACAAAATTTTTGGGTAACTTCACTTTGTTGTTAGATTTTTTTTATCATATATATTTTGACCGATCTCCTTGTGGGAGTAGGAGAGGTTAAAAACATGTAATTTACAAGTCTTTTTACTACACAATAATGTATACTATATTAGTTGATTTCTTTTTTCTAAAAAATAAGACAATTGATGGCAAACCACAGTAATTCACTATTTCTTGGCTCATATGAGGTTAGTTGGGAATTGCACTCTATATGTGGCCACAATCAAGCTAATTTACAACTTACAAAATGTCGAACTAGGACCTTCCTTTTTTATTTCAAGAAGTTGTTATTCCACTTTTTCACTAGGCCACTTGTCATAGTTATAGTACATTACTTGATTAATGCAATGGTAATTATTCGTACCTAAGAGTAAACGATGAAAAGAAATAATGAATGTCATACATTGTACAGTAGAAGAAATAATTATGTTGATGTATCTCGTACATTGTTGTATTCTAAAGCTTATCGTACGTAACTAATTTTGTGATTTAGTCGGAAATTGTTAACTTCTTTCCTGGTCTGAATAAGGCAACTTCAGCATAAAGTGGTGTGGAAGTGGAATAGTTTTAATTTATTTATTGCCTTATTGAATTATTTGGCCCACTATATTATTCTGGATTTATATCAACCGTTTTCAGGGTCACTTTCTGACTTTTCATCGAGTCGGTGGATGGTGACACATACTCTTAACTGGGGGAGGATATGAGATACTTCATAATTTTGATATCTATTTCCTTTTCTTTCTTTTTAATAATTTTGTAAAGGCATAGAAAGTTCGATATCAAAGAGAAATAAACTTTTTAAGAAAAAAGAGAGAAAAATAATATGGAAAATAACACCAGCAACTCTTTTTTACTTTCTTGGGTGAGGTCGGTCGACCAATCCTTTGCTTGATATTAAACAATAAAAATCAAAGTATTAGGTAATCCAAAACTTTAATACGCGGTTTCGTTCTTCTTTATTAAGAAACAAGAAAAGTGTTTTGATGATTGACTGAAAGTCAAAAAAAGGTAAAATACTTGGATAAAGAATGAATGATAAAAGTTATGGTTTGAGGATTTGGATCCTCGCCGGATCCCTTTCCTGAGGATTCTAGGGATCAACCCACGTGAACTGTTGATTAAAAATCGTGTGGCCACAATTAAATATTTTTTATATTTTTAAAAGTAAAGTAACCTTCTTTTGATCAACGGTCCACGTACATTGATCCCTAGGATCCCCAGGGAGGGGATCCGGCGAGGATCCAAATCCATGGTTTGATTGGGAGGAAGGCAGTTTCTATGGAATTCGAAAGACTTATACGAGACAGATTTAGAGAAATAGTTTTAATTCTAACAGGTAGAAAATTAACTCTAATCCAATAGAAAAGGAATTCAAATCTTTTTTTTACAAGAAACTCTAAAGCATAAAACACCACGTGTACACTTACATACTAAAAAACCAAATTAATTTTTCCAACAACACGAATGTTAATGTGATAATATTTCAAACTCATCACGCATCAATATGTGTTGTAATATTTTCACCCACGTCGGATGGACCTTGACGTGTACCTTTTCATCTAAATAATATTTCTCATAATATATTACACGAAAGAATCAGCACCAACGGTAATAGTCAAACAAGTTAAGGTCGGTTATTAAGAAAGTATGCTAACTAACTAACTAACTACTCGATATTATATACCTCTTGCTTTCTAGCATCCATGGCGTTGAAAGTCAGGTGAAAAAAGAAATCTGTAGTACAAGGAACAAGTTTGGTTTGACTCAACTGAACTTGGTTCGATCTTTGGGCAGCAGATAATCCTACACCTGTTAAGTTATTGTTACTCATGTCCTGATGTCGTTCCCCCAATAAGCAACAATGACCTGAAACCCTACACGTTTGAGTAGATGTGTCCTTCCATGTTTGAAACACCTTAGCCATTTTGGTTACATAATAGAGGTGTGACAACGATATGCATACCACTACTTACTTGAAGTGCAAGAATCGGTCGCCTTTGCATGGACTAGCTAATCCCAACCGATCATGCTTTGTCGGCTTTATGCAGACTGGTTGTTATGGGAACGGACAAAATTATTCTTCAAACGCGACCAATCCTAACACTTTAAGAAAATAATTGACTAATTGTGGGATTGTGTGAGATCGAAAGTAACCTCAATTTACATTGTTTTCTTTGAAACATTGTTGCGAGTGTGAATTTCACATTGAAAAAAGAATGGACATTGCATGTTCTTATAAGCAATTGGACTACTTCTCATATTATCAATTGATTTTATAATGAAACCTAACTTTTTTTTTATAATCACGGACTGTCTCATTTGTAAAACCCAACTTTCTTCGAACAAATGTGTGTGTCGGCAATATGCCCTATTTGCTGCAGTGTAGAGAGAAATTTAGAGTCCGAAACAGTTAGGAGAGTAGTAGGTTGACCTAGGATAAAGAAGTGTTGTATATTATATATATATATATATATATATATATATATATATATATATATTGTGATTTATGGTGAATAAACAACTGGCACCACATGGATAGGGAAAGTATCATATTGTTCCTTTGTTGGAGAATTCAATATATAATTATCAAACTATCAGTTGTATAAACAGTAATTAAGCTAGCCTATGGTTTCCCCTAATCTGTACATTTGACCAAAATCAGGCTCCTAGCTATCTGGTAAATCTGACGAATCCAATGACGTTAATTATCACAGCAAACGGAGAAGAACGGTCAACAAAGTGCAGGTGCAAGTGCATTTAATCAACTAATTACTATATAATAACATATATGTTTATTACTATGTTAGAAATATTTGGGAAGGTCATGATCTTATTGCAGGCCTAGGCTTAAGCTCTACCTCACCGAAATGCTCGATGAGCTGCTGTATATTTGGCCTAGCCGAAATCAAAGTATAGTTCTTTTAGTTGTTTGACATCATGTACGCTATGGTGCATGCTTATCGTTTGACATCATGTGATATTTGGCCTAGCTGAAATATCACATGAATAATTACAGACGTGAGAGTAGCAACATTCACATGAGTGAATGTGCATGCTTTCCTATACTCGTAAGAACTTAAGTTAAATTTATTTTCTTACAATTTAAATTAGTTTAAAATAAAATATCAATGACATGAAAAAGGTGAATTGCTTTATTTCTTTACAAGGTTAAATTTGTAACCATCATTATGCCATCATAACTACAAGATAATTTAGAGTATGGGCATTAGCCATTTTACATTTTGGACCCGCCATATGGCATTTGACAATTTAGAGTGTGGGCATTACCCATTTAAAATGTGATCTTGCTCTTGTGGCCCATACTATAAATTTGGTTAGCCTTTTGATTTCTTATTATTGTTAAGTATACATAACATGGATGGAGACAGTTAAGGCTCACTAGAGGAACATATTGATCATGTTATTCATGCTCCCTTTAATGAATATAAATAAAAAGACATATAACTTGAATTTATCATAATTTTACTACTTGCAATTTATATTCTCATATAGTCCATTACTGTAAAAAAATTCCTACAAGTTGTGGCCTAATGAAGTTTTACAAGAAAAAAAAGGCGGTGAAATTATACAAGATATGATGAATTTTTTTCTCAAGTATATATAACTAGATTAAGGTTGCCCTTGCTTAAAAAAAAATTCTAACTCCGTCCATGATACCTAAAAGTTTAAACTTCGTTCCCGTAGCATGGGCATTGTCTTCTTCATTCACTATTTACCGATTCAAAACTGGGCCTGAATCATGCATGCATGCATTAATACAGAAAAAAGGTCCATGCAAATTGCAATTGTAGTTAATTATACATGCTGGGAAATTCTGCAAATCTAATTGATGGGTGAAAATAATCATGCAAATTCATTCAGATTCTATTAAATTTAATTACGACTTGAAATTCGTGATGATCCAATGATGATAATTAAGCTAATCCCAAAATATATACTTGACAGCCAGCATTTATTTCCAAATTTCCCAGCGAAAATATAAACTAGAAATTTAACCTAATTCAGTATACTGGTCATTCGCAAAAGAAAAATGTCTGGAGAAAACTAAATTAAAGGGAAGAAACCATCGCAACATATTACGGTAACCGTGCCAATATATATACACCCCCCCCATGAATATTTACAAACCATATCTGCGTTCATGTGTATTGCACATGAATAATTTAATCACATTTCATGAAAACCCTTTAGATCATAAGCTAGCTATAGGCAGTTATCTCCTTGGACGCAGACGGTGAAGCCACGGAGGAGGACTCCTGCGAGGATTGAGGGGGCGAATGCGGCAATCTCGAGGAGAAGCTCCGGAGCGGGTAATCCTCGAGGTCGGTCTCCTCGTGATCAAAGTTGAGGGCGTAGCTGAGTGCGTCATATTTAAAATCGGCAGAGGATGAATGATGCCTCCGTCCCACGTGGCCGTGGCCGTTGCCACGTCCATGCATGCGCCCAATCAAATTCTTGCACTTGTCTTTCAATTCCGCAAACTCGTAATGACTGTTGTTGTGGTGATGGCGATGGCTAGATCGCGAGGACCGAGAATTAGGGGAGAATAAAGAGGTCCGCACGAGGCTGACATTATCAGCCCCGTTCGGGGTGGGAGGCGCCGTGAGGGCGCCGTGGTGGTAATTTTTGGGAGTAGGGAAGCATGGGATTATGCAGAGGGAGGAGCGGAGCTTTTGTTTGAGAGAGTTTGGGGAGCAGGGTTCCTGGTTGTTCTCCATTATTTTGATTTGTGTGTGGAGAGGTTGGGGTGGTGGCGGTGTTATTTGTGTTTTTATTTGGGAGGAGGAGGAGGAGGCCCGTGGGTGAGGTGAAAGACGGATGAGGACACGTAGGGTTCGGGGTTTTGAAAAATGGGAATACGGGATGGGGGGGACGTGAGAGTGAAACCAACTCATTGAGGTCCGGATTTCATGGGATGCTCTTGGGGTTTCTGTTCTTTTGACTTTATTCAGAGGTTATCGCTCTTTTCAGGATTTTTTTTTTTTTTTTTCAATTTTATCTTTTGATATATATCTGAAAACTAGGATGGGCCCAAAATTTGAAGGCTAATGTTGGGGTCCATTTGCATGAAATATGAGCTGGGCTCGAATGCAAAATTGGAATATGGGCTTGAACATATCTTGTTGCCCAATTAAGAAAACTATTACTCCATGATTGGGAGATGAGATTTTGATGTCAATGTGAGTTAAGTAAGTTGATTAGAACTGTGTTGCTTATCCTTTGCCTCAATTCAAATTTTTCTGATCATAAATTAGAGTAGTTTAGAGTATCGCATTGTCGGATAAAAGAATATTACAAGGCCCAAATCCAATTTTAATATAAGTTCGTAAGATCATTAGTCCTTGTTGTGCTCTTCCCACTTAGCAGCTCAGATGATGAGAATCTTTATCCATATCCTTTCTGTAGTACAATATTGTAGAAGTGGGATTGGGGTTGATACGTATGCTTTGTTCATTGAGAGAATATTATCACTCCTCGTCCTCGCTTTAGTGATTCTCTACGTGTGATGTCTTGTTTTGAATTTTGATAAGATTCATTTCTAAAGGATCGTTTCAAATGTGGGATAAGGGGTCATTCATACATACAATCAAACTGACTTTTTAATTTTACGGCAAGACGTCATACGTAAGTAATGAACAAACTCTTTTTAGAGAAACTTTAATAAGGCAGTCTGATCAACCAATCAACAAGTCAGATCACTATCACAATGAATAAGACCGAATTGACGGATAGAATAAACTCAATAGTCGATTGGTCCTATTATGTTCTCTCTAAAATCAACATCACAATAATAAATAGGGTTCTTTAGATATAAGCCCAGGCAAATTACATTTCATAAACAAAAACCCATATAAATTTAAATCTCTAAATAAAACCCAATTTTCAAACAAACTGACATGTAAGCAAAAAAGTGACCTATTGTTACAATATATTTACAACTTATGCCACAACTCCCTAATTAAGTCAATAAAGGTTATCATAACTCACCCTAATTATGATGAGCAACAAGCTCCTATACTGTTAATATATTATACCAACAAATTTACCTATATTTTGTTGATTAAATAATAAGTATATTTATCTAAGAAATATCAATAGTATGCCTAATAAGTGTATTTATATGAGAAATATCGATAATATGCCTACTAATAAAGGCTCAGAATGCATGATAAACATGTATGAAATATTATACTAATTTACCTATAGTTTGTAGATTCACTAATGTAAATAATAAAATATATTTTATATGAGAAACATCAATAGTTTGCCTAATAAGTATATTTATATGAGAAATACCAATAATATGCCTACTAATAGAGGCTCGGGATGCATGACAAACATGTATGAAATATTATACTAATTTACCTATACAAATTAATTTACCTATATTTTGTAGATTCACTAATTTAAATGATAAATACATTTTATATGAGAAATATTAACAATATGCCACCTAATAGAGGCTCAGGATCCATGATAAACATGTATGATTAATTTACCTATATTTTCCAGATTCAAGAATTTAATAACAGGTGCATTATTTTTCAAAATGACCAAAACTATTAGTACTAAGTAGGTACACTAATCTTTTCAAAACAAAAAAAATAGGTACATTGATGTTCGAAAAATAAAACAAAACATACTAGACACATCATTTTTTACCCCTTTTGTTTTAAAGAAAACAAAAGCATGTTTTTTATTAAATCGCAATAGGGTATATTAATCTGAAAATTTATTGTTGAATTCAAAACGTTTTGAATTTTTATTCCTACATCAACTAAAATTTCAAAGCCATTACACACGTTACAAGAAAATTAAAAAAGCTTTCCATTTTAATTTTGATATCAACATAAACTGCTATAATGACTTAACTGAGGGTAATTTGGGGAATCCAAATAATATTAAATATGACACACAATCTCAATTAGGTAATTTGCTTAGATGGAGCCTAGTCATTGGGTTTTTGTTAGAAAAATATATTATTGTGGGTTTTATGTAAAAAAAATTGAGTTTGAAGGGGTAAAGTCACATTTTCAGTAATAAATATTAAAAATATCCAATATTTGGATCATCAATTATTGAAAAGAGATAAAAATAATCCTGATTACCTCAAAAAAAATGAGAGATTGAGGAAGGCAAAATACATTTTTTTTTACAGAAGGGAGGTAAAATTATTGAATAGATATATATAAACTCAATATACATGTTTTGTTTTTTGTTGTTGGTCTGATTCTTTTTATATTTTTGTTTTTGTGTTTTCTTAATTATTATTGAAAGTTTGAAAAGCTAAAGAAAAAAAAAAAGGGCTTTTCGACTCAGAGTATCTTCATGGCTGGGCAGTTTGTAAATCTGTAAAACTAAAAATAAACATACAGTATCCTAAACAGAATCTTTATTTCTTCTGTTTTTTGTGTTTAAGATTTAAGATCTTGATACGTGACTTAACTTGTACATATTTATATGTTATATAAAGGTTGTATCACCTTATTCCACTATTTTTAGAAGCCGGCCGGGCCTCCATATAATACATTTCTTTTACTTGTAAGATTGTCTAACCATCTAACTGGTCAGATTTCTCATTTTCTCCTCTAATTTTTTTTCTTTTAATTCTACTTGATTCGTTGAAAGAGTGCATAAAAGAAAGTCCAAAATCACTACCTTCTTACCTAAACACAGAAAACAAAAGAAATGGAAGTACACAACCAGAACTATTCACTTGGTGCAGCCAAGAAAAGTCATTTAATTACTATAAAGAAATGAAGTACACAGCTAAAACCATTCACTTGTAACTTAGTATTACGGTCTAGTATCATTTTTCTTCACCTGTAAATGAGAGGTCTTAAATTCGGTTCTCATCAAAGGCTAATTTAAACCACATTAGTAGTAATATATTGTAAGACTTAACCGTATCGTTTGGTAAAAAGAAAAAGAAGAGAAAATTACTATAAAGGCCAAAGAAACATTACAAGAAGAGATGTGGTTGATCATGTGGCTTACTATGATAAGTGCCAGGTTTTCTGTTCATAGCAACACTCAGCACCGGTGTCTGACACAAACCGGTTGGACTTGGTGGAAGCTTTTCGGTTAAGTTGCACTGAAACTTCCTCTCCCTTTCCATCTCATTTCTCTCACCTTTTGTTTATTGTGTTTTGTCCCCTCATCTTTTACTTTTCTTCTGCTTGGACTTGGTGGAAGCTTTTCGGTGAAGTTGCGCTGAAACTTCCTCACCCTTTCCACCTCATTTCTCTCACCTTTTCTTTGGTTTTGTCTCGTCATCTTTTACTTTGCGTTTGCTCTTTCTCTGTCTCGCATCGAAAACCTGACTGCTCTAAACACAAATTATTTTACCAGTAGTAGGACGTTTAACCGTCTCTAAAACAACACTTGTTTTCTTGTTGGGTTTTGTGCCGTCGTAATTTCGAGGTTGAAATTAATGGCTGGAATGCTTCCTGGTGTGGAAAGCGCTCGGAGGAGACGAGTCCGTCAGAGCGGAGAGCCACCGTGTGTCGGCGGCATCCATGGCAGCACCAGGCGCTCTTGTTTCTGTTTGTATGCTAGCAACCATGAATCTCACCACACCTCCACTTCTCCACTGGTAATTCTTTCTTTCTTTCTCTCAATCTTCCACATAACACAATACGAATGTTTTTCGCACTCTTCATTTCTCTTACCCCTCTAATTTTGTTTCTGATTTTTAAAACGAATAAATCAAAGAAGAATCAATCGAGAAAAACAAGAGGGTGAAAATCGCTATCCTACCGATTCAATTACAAGCAAATATATTTTTCTCTTGTTGCTTGGATGATTTTTCATGATCATTGTTTCATTTTGCATGTTTGAATCATTAATCTCAATATTAACTATTGAACAAAAAGCAACGAAGCATACTGAACCAAGCATACATGGATGAGAAGCTGGGAGTGGAAGCCAGAGAAGCAAAGGGGAGACTAGATGAAAGACTGAGAACACAAAGAAAATCACAACTCAAAAGGTATAAATAATTAATTTACCAATATGGTAGTCCGTCTATGAAACAAACTGTCGATTGCATATCAATAATGCCTCCATATCCATGTTATTGATGCTTATTGACAACATCGACGAAACGACTGTTTCTTTCCTGCACATAGAATTTCTTACCAATAATGGTTCTTGCTGCTAGCCTGCTATATACGTGAGGGGAATAGATTTTCTGACTTTTTATTCTTCTGCACTTCCCTATTTATTTTTGTCCCCCGATTTTCAATATGTTTTAAATTATGTATTTTTTTAATACTTATGATGAATTTAGGCACAATAATAGTAACAACAAAGGACTGAAAAGTGTGGATGGAGGAGGAAGATCATCTGTGGTGCTCGGAGAGTTGCAGATAGAAGTGTATGGAGCTACAAAGAGTAGCAGTAGCACAAGTGGATCAAAGAAGTTCAGCTGGTCAAAGTTGTCCTGGAAATCATCAGACCAGGATGAGTGTGCAGTCTGCCTGGAAAGGTTCAGTCCAGGTGAGACCCTGGTGAACCTGCCCTGTGCCCACAGGTTCCACTCTGGTTGCATGATTCCATGGCTTCACAGCAATGCTCATTGCCCATGTTGCAGAATGGAGATTAGCTCCTAGTAATTGTATTGGTAATTTGTTAAATTAAAATTGTAAAATATTGATTGAGCTTGCAGTTGCAGTTGTAGAGTTGGTTTGAAGTTTGAAGGATTGACCTTGTGGTGCTAATTGCTTACCTACCACAAGTTTTTGTTGAAGTGAATAGTTGCCAAGTAGTCTTTGTGTGAGTAAATAGTTTATGCATATTTTGGAAAAATACTTGTTTGTTTTCTCATTAGAAATAAATTATAGTCTGACTCGTATAATTGAATTTTTTTAAGTATCATTTAGGAGCTGTTATTGGCACTTCTATAATCTCAATCCACACTCGTTCTATATTTTTAATTTATCTATTTTAATTCTGTTAATGTGATTTCTCGATTTTACCCTATATTACTTTTAAAGTCTACAATCTTAAAAACCTCATTAAGTATGACATAAATATTTATAGGGAGTTGTAAAGACCTTCTGTGCTCTAGAAACAAGTCGGCTTTACAATTGTTTACTTTGAGGTTTTCCAGTAGACCTTATGTGCAAAAGACTCTGAGGCCTACATAAGAATTAGGGTGTGATTATCATGAAAATGGAAACATGCTTCAGGCTTATGTGGCTAACACAACCATTCTGAACACATATATATAGCTAAGCTGTTGAAATCCATACAGAGAATTTGGACATGATCGAGAACGATTCGATGGAACTTTCTTTTTTAAGATTGTTTGGATGTTATGTTTAGTTCTTGTGAATTGTTTAATTTTGCCATGGTTAAAATTTCAGAAGGGAAAAACATGCGATTATTTCTCGTTATGATGTTCAAGATACGAACTATGACACCACAACTATTATGTTGTATTTTAGAAAGATTACTTGTTGCCTTTGCTTAGCAACAATTTTATTTTGTATAATTTTTTTCGTTTCTGTATCAAATCTACCATAAACAATGAGCCTACTTACAGCTTCCCACTCATTTTTCGTTTTTCATTGTTTTCCCGGGAAATTAAGTTTTGGAGTTTTTTTCCATTGGGTTGCTTTGGATTTTAATTACATTGACTGTTATTTGTTATGCGATTTGAAATTCAAATTATATTTTATCATATTTTGTTTCCCTTTGATTTTTTTCATGGATCTGTTTGGGATTCTAGTAATAGTGTTTAGATTTTGGAAATTGTTCTCTCTTTTGTGTTCTGGGTTATATTATTGTATTGAACACATGGTTCTTTTGTGTAGAAATTCAAATCTGGGATCATTGTTTCTGGTTTATTTTGTATCAATTTTTTTCATTACTAGAGCAAATCTGGAAAAAATAAATAAATCTACCAGAAATCCCTCCAATTTTTTTTCGTAAGCAAAGTCAATTTCAAATGAAAGATTAGTGAGGCTTTCAAGAAAAGAAAAACATGCTCAAAATCTAAGCATTCCCACCAATTTATTTAAGTCATCAAAATTATACTTAAATGAGGTTTTCAAAATTTTGTGCACATTAAAAACAATATAAGGGCAAAATCGAAAATCACATTAAAAGAATTAAAATAGATAAGTTAAAAATATAGAAGGAGTATGAATTGAGTTCTTGGAAGTACCAATAACAGCTTCCTATCTTTTTTGTAAGTTACTTTATTATATGTGCCAATTTACAGAATTAATACCTATTTACTTACTGTAAAGAGTTAAGCACGGTTAAAACTTCAATGATTTCCCAATTATTAACCAACAAGTGATGTCCAATAGGGGTGGAATATTCAAAATACATAAAAGTGCTTTTATTGACAAAAGGGATTTTATCTAAAATATAGTTTTTGAAATTGTTATAATTCTTCATATTAGTTTTAGAGATTTAAAAGCAATAGAAGTGGTCCATGAGTTTATCCAACTTTAATCATTTTGGTCATTCCTTGAAAATCTTTGTTAAATAAACACTAAAATGACAAAAATACCCTTCATTAATAAACAATGGGCCAAAATGATTTGACAAAATTTAAGGGTATTTTTGTCATTTTGGTCCTTATTTAACGGACATTTTTCACGGAATGACTAAAATAATTGATGGTGGACAAACTCAGGGATCACTTTTATCTATTTTAAATCTCATGAACCAAAATAAAGAGATATCAATCTTAGGGACCAGGGCCGCCCCAGGCCCAATGCGGGCAGGGTGGCCGTCTGGGGCCCAAAAAAATTAGGGGCACCAAAATTATTAGTGTGTCATATTTATATACGTTTTCATAAGAGTATAAATTTATAAAATTTAGTTTAATGATAAAGAAATTTAACTAGAACCAGTGGTTTTGTTGTTTGAAATTGATGAAGAGGTATTGGGTTCAAAATACTATGTGTGCTTATTTAAATTCTAAATTTTTACAAATTTCTTTTCATAACAATATAAATTTATAAAATTTGGCTAAATGATCAAAAGTTTAATTAGAAGCAATGGTTTTTGTATTTAAAATTAACGAGAGATCCTAAGTTTGAAATGCTATGTGCATGTTTATTTTTTTCAATTTTTACAAATTTTTGTTTGGTTGTTAATTTATTTTTAATTACTAGCTAGTAACTATGTGGGTTGTTATTTTTAAAAATTTGTTCCAATTCAAGTCTAATTTTCAACAAGGGGTAATACATAGACTAAATTTTTAGACCAAATTTGCAAATTATATGACGTGTCATCAAAATGGTTAATTGGAGCTCAGTCATTACTTATACATATCCTTAAAGACTCGAAAGTATCATTATTTTTTTATTCTTATATTGATGAGGTTAGTAAATAAGAAAAAACATTTTACGATTTATACAAAAATACTTTAAAAGTTCCGATGGAAGTCAAAACTCATCATTTATTTACTTATAAGCTTGAAGTTTTTTGGTTTCCTTTTCTCGATACAAAATAAATTAGTTTTTCCGTGTTTCTAAATTACTGAGTTTGAAGTGCTTTTGTAAATATAATTTTATCGATGTCTTACGTGTAAAAACAAATAATTTTTTTATATGAAGTGAGAACACATTTTTTTTGCATCGCCTCGGGCCTAAAAAATCTCTGGACCGACCCTATCAGGGACTATTTTCGGTTTGACAAAATCACTTTTGTGAATGAATCTAATTACACTGCATATCACTATCCATCCATTCTTTCTCCCCACCTTGAAATTGAATATCAAATGAGAGAAAAGGTTCCACTCATGTGACTGGTGGGACAATAACAGGTTAATTATAGGACAGTTTGGTTTCTTGGTCGACCTTTATCTTGTTTAGTGCAAATCATTTGTGGTTGTACTAATCAAATGTTATTACCAATCTTGGATTCCAATTAAGGGAAATCATGGTGAGATTATTACAATTTGATATTGCAAATAAAAAATCATTAAATTTGTGCAGTTGACTCAAGTGGCGAGGAAGATGGGCAGTGACGGATTCATGAATTATTCATTGAATAAGTAAGGTATAAAAGTTTGGTGCGGTGTTCTTGCTTAAGTTCTCTTGTTAGTGGGTGAGTCTTAGAGGTGGTGATGCTTGAGCCTTGAGATTGAGGGATGAAGTTGAAAATTGAGTGAAGCAAGTGAATTTGTGTGAAATGAAGGATCAGAGCAAACAACGACAACCGGGTTTGGGTAAAAAGGGGATTTGCACCCCCCGCGCCATCCTGTCTTGCTCAGTTGTTGGGTAGGCAAAATCTAACGGCAAGTTATTTCCATTGAACATGTTCGTCTTAAAAATTAAAAAGTGAGTTAAGATTAGACCACGTAAAAGATTCAATTATCTATAATACGACCGAAAAAATATATTAATAAAAGACATTTAAGTTGGAGGTGGAACGTCATTTTCTCCTGGGATTCAATCCTAATTTGGTAAAATCTTCTTCTTTTCCTCCCACCCTAATCCTTGTTTTGGAGTCACTACTGACTAGCTGGAGGTCACTAAAGAATGGCCGCCCAAAATTAGCTAATTAATCTTTATCTTGATTATAGAGATGGAGAGATGATTAGGCAAGGATTTAAGATGAGATTTGATTAATTATTCGTTTGATTCTTTCTTTTGATCGAAGTGACGCAAGAGTCCAAAACGTTTCAAAGTTTTCGTAAGTGATATGTGACTAAGACATAGCACGAATAGAATGAGACATGGCATGTGGATTGCTTTGTTTCACCTTGTTAGAAAATCAATCTTCTTAGAATTTTTTTTTTAGAAATTGATACGTTTTGGATTATGTCAAAATCAAGACCATATCGTAATCAAAACTGAGGCGAAATACGAGTTAAGATAGAAGGTGAAAGTCTGAGACGATATGAAATCTTGGCTTATATTTTCATCTTATCACAACATTTCAAAGTTCAACAATTATTTTTGAACAATTTTAGAATTTGAATGCTTGATTTTAAAAAATTTAGGAATACAAGGAGTTGCACAAATCATCTACCATCAACAACAACAAGAAGTTTTTATCCTATTAAGTCGGGTTGATCGTATCAATTCTAAACTACCACTCTGCACTTGGTTTTGCAGTCAAGTCTTCCGTTAGCTCCAAATGCTCTATGTTTTTTTAAAAATCTTTTTTCAAGTTTTTCTAGGTCTTCCTCTACATTTTTGGCCTTGAGCATGTATCTCATAATTGCATTTTTTATCTGGAGCATCTATAGGTCTTTGTTTCATATATCCAAACCACCTAAACCGATTTTCTCTCATTTTATCTTCAATTGCGGTCATTCCTACTTTACCTCGAATATTCTTGTTCTTAATCATGTCATTTCTTGTGTCCTCGCACATCAAACAAAACATTCTTATCTTTGCTGCACTTTTTTTTTTTTTTTATATTTAGCATGTGTTGATACATGACTGCCTAACATTTCGCGTATAAAGCATTACTGACCTTATTGTTTTATTAACATCCTATTTTTTTTTTCTTGAGCTCTAATGGCATATGACGGTTGCAATAATACGAAAACGCAAAAATGTTGAAGAAAAGTATAACTTTGTTGAAAGAAAAATAAATTGAAAGGAAACGCAACAAACGACGACGTTGCTTTCTTTTTTTTTTTCGCACCATGTGATTTTAGTATTTTACGCTTTCAGACCCCCCACAACGGCTAGTTTCCTAGTGACCGTTTCCCGTCGCCCAAAATTCAAAATCTGAACCCACCGTTAATCTTCTCCACATACCGCAATTCCCGGAAACATTTTTCAATTGTCAAACAACACTCGCAAACAAAAACTAAAATTCAAATCCAAACTCAAACTCTGGCAACTTCCCAAATTCGATCTCTGTTAAACCCATTTGGCAATTCGAATCAAGAACCCAGAATTTCAAAAATGGTGTATTCGTACGCGCCCACATACTACTCCACTCTCCACGACTCGATGACCTCCCTGTGCAAGTCCATTCTTCCCTTCGGCTTCAAGAAGCGGCGGTTGCCAGCGGCGGAGCAGAAGCTTTCGAAGCTGCAGTCGGATAACCTCAAGTGGCAGCAGGACTCTTTCCACCAGATGATGAACTTGATGGGTCTACACAAAGAAGGGATCTTGGCTGAGACCGAGGTCTCCGCTTTCCGATTGCATTTGCTCGAAACCCTTGTCGCCTCACCAGTGGCGGAGCACGAACAGCCGGTTATTCTGAGGGACAAGTTGCTGTTCTTGCAGGTAAAAAACGAGTCTGCAATATCAAATCCCTTTTGGCTTTTCATTTCGATTGGATTTTCTTTCTTGGTTTTCTGAGTTGCCAAACAATGTTTAGGAGCTCTTGTATGCGAAATGCATATCGGAAGACGAATACCATTCTTCGAAGAGGCCGTTGCTGCAGCGATTAGCAGCTCAGGGAGCTGAGGTCGAGGCTAAAGATGTAATCGCTTCAGGATCGCTGCCAGCGAAGGACCTGAAAGAGAATGCAGATCAAGAGCAGTGGTCTGAAATTGACTTGAAGGACGAGAAATGCTTGCTAACGAAAGACAAAGGGAGTTCAAATTCGAAGAACAAATTGAAGCACAGCTCGGCAGTGAAGCAAATCAAAGGGGCAGCTTCGGTGTTGGGATTCGTATCACCTTTCAAACAAGGGAAAAACAGGGGAGAAAAGAGCATATTCGATCTGCCCGACTCGTCCAAATTCTCTTCCGCCAGCTCTTCTAAGCATGAAGCAGGAGATCAATCGTCGATTCTCATGCCAGAAAGCTTGACACAGGTTGCGATGAAAGAGAGTGGGAGCGCAGATCGAACGAGGAGGAAGCCGTTTAGGAATCTGTTTCAGAGAGAACAGAGAGAGGGACAGGAGGATCATGGCCATGAAAATGAACAAACACCTTCGAAATCGGCGAAAAAGCAATGGGGTTTTGATGGATTCAAGAAGTGGAAGAGGAGTGACTCGGAAGAGAATGAGACAACTCCGTTGCCGCTAAACGAAAGATCAGATAGTGAGGTTCACCTGAAGCTTGTCCCAAGCTCCATGGGTGAAGGGCCAGACACTAAGCTCATAAAAAGGAAGCTGCTCTCGGATGGTTCTCCTTCTGATTTCTTCATTGACAAGGTTCGTAATTGTTCAATTTCATTTCATGATCTTCAGCGAATATTCGAAGCTTGATCTCAAACTGAATCTTGTGTTTTGTTTTTTTATGACCTGAAGGTTGTAGGGGAGAAGATAAAGAAGGAACTGTCAAGAATTCAGACAGAGCTTTGCGCTTCAAATCCAAATCTTCGATTCACGTAAGCCTTTTCGACGAGACTTTCTTAATATTCACACTGGCATTGAAAATAAATCCGTTTGTATTGAAAATATATGAGGTTGGTTCTTGTGATTTACTCAGGAATGAACAAATTGAAGCGATTTCGACAAGGCTTCCGGTGGACAAGGCTGACCTGAAGAAGTTCTTTCCCGAGTGAGCAAAATCTTCACCAACTAAAACCATCACATCCTTAGACTTTCCTTTTTATTCATCATTGATTTTTGTTTCGTTTTCAGGTCGTGGTGTGATCGGTATGGAGGCGTTGTTCTGGACGTGGTGAGGAAAGAATTCAAGGAGCATGTTGGGGATGAGTGAGAAATGCAGCAAGAGAGAAACACGGTATCCACTCAGCGCGATGGGTTACATTCCAAGATGACGAGGAGAATTGTCACCCAAATCTGTTTGCTCCGCCGCCTGACAACAACCACAATTACACCTCAAAGTTCCATGAAACCAATCCTTTCTGTGATGATCACCTTCACACCACCCCTAGGAAGCTGAGATCGAAACCGGCAGCTTATACACAAGAACAGAATCAGAATCAGAATCCCTTTTGGATCCCGGGGCATGACTACTGACGTGATACATTTTTCTAATCTGTTGTATGAACTTCGAGAGAAGAACTCTGTTCTCCCAAGCATTCAAATTTTATGTTTGATTTGTAAATGCAGGCAATGTATTATCTCCTTAAATGTTTCGGAATTCGATTCGCTCCTTGATTTTTATTTTCTTAGCTCTTCTCACTCATTATTTGAAAGCCGCTTTGTTGAGATGAAAAGACCGCCACTGTGTTCGTCCTCATTGCTCAAAGGACATTCATGCAAATATCAAACATGCGTGTAATACAAGAAACAAATCAATTGAAACATAACATGATCATCAGGAGTAAGGGTTGCTTGTGATGCAAGCAAGCTGCAAATTCGAGAGCAAAAAGAACTTTTTGCAGATACATGAACCCCGAGTCGTCATTCTATTGATCAGTTAGAGAAAGAAACGACTCAGGTCAAAATATAATTCCTCGTTACAATAAGGACAAAACTGGCAAAGACTTCTTTTACACGTTCAAGTAAAAGCAGAGGAATCTACAAGCCTTTTAGCAATAACGGAAGGCACGTTACCAATAATTCCAGCAAGAAACCCACCATTTGAAATAGATAAAGAAACACATCACCATCAAGTAACAGAAGCACCAAGGGTAATAATGGAAAAAACTGCAAAATTGAAAAATGCCAATGTGTTCTCTGCATATAAACATCAAAGATGGTACACATGCACATTGATGTATAAATATCTCATTTTCTCAATCATTATATAAGTACTACAATTCCGCATCGAGAGTGGAAGACGCTACAATATCATGGATTTCGGAAAATTTCAGATACAAGTTAGCATTGGGGGACAAAATACATGTCGTGGCAGATGCGAAGAACCATCTTTAACCATTTACATTATTGTGTAGTATGTACAATTAAATCAAAGAGAAGATATCTCTGAGTTAGAGACAGAACAGTCGGTGAAACCCTCACGAACATCTCCTCGGCAAAGTGGGCAAACCCTGTAGTACGTAGGAGTGACTTTCAGTGGAAAAAAAAAAAAAAAATCATAGGGGAATGAAGGACAATCATGAAGGGGGAAAAACAGGATGGCAATGACAATACCCGTGTATCTCTTTGAGCCACTTGTCAACGCAGGACATGTGATACTCGTGATGGCAGGGAAGAACTCGAATTTTGTCTCCTTCCTCATACTCAGCGAGGCATATGTAACACCTATCAATTATTAACTCACCATGATCAAACAAATGCATCATGCTCCCTATTGATGGAATCATTTAAGGCCAAAAGAAAATGGGCATGACTTAAGTAAAACTTACTGCTCAGCATCATCCCCGGACTTTGATTTGTCAACCTTTGTGTGACTTTTAAGAGGAAAACCATCAACAACAGATGCTGGGGCAGGAGCCGAGACCATCGATAGTGAAAGTGACACAGGTTGGCGGTGAATTTCATCCAAAACCTGCACATTGCACATTACAACAAAATTAGGTTTGAGTAATGCATTCATAAGGTAAACAGTAATCTTTCGTGTAACATCTGCCACTATGTTTGACCCTCAACATAGATAAAAAAAAAAACTGCGAAAACCAAAGCATAGCCGTTCAACCTAGAGCAGTAAACATGCAGCCAAAGCCATCAAATAGACCTCAAAAAGAAGAATATACTAAATTCATCCCTGATTTAATTAAGTTTAGCCCCCAAAGAGGAAAAAATTAAAGAATTTCATGCTTCAAGGGTAAATCACAGCATCCCAAGGTAAACACAAAAGGCAAGAACGTATTGCATAAATACCCTCCTAACTTAAGACGTATGCAAGAAAAATAGAAAGAAAATTACCTCAAATAGAGCTTCAGCGAGCATGACAATTCTTGATATACTTGCCCGAGTACTAGACTCTTCGGTCGTCGAGAATGAGCCACATGAACACATGCCACGAGGGTGGATTCCTGTGGGACAAGAGGTATTACGCTGGCCATTATCATCAAGGCCAACACGAAGTCTTTCCCAGACCTACAGAGAGTCATGCAGATGCAAATCAATGAAAATTACTAATGGGACTCCAATAAATAAAGCTGCTACAATCTACTGGTTTCCTCTGGCCCATAAAACATATATAACACTTCATAAAGGAAGTATAAAAGTACCTTTGATGTATGATATGTCTGTAAACCATGTAAATGAACAGACATATACAGTTAAGACTTAAGCCCCAAAACTCTCCCAAATGAAAGAAGAAGAAAAATTCAATTTTCAGATCAACCACGTAACTGAAAACATCATAATATTTGTTAATGTTCTAAACTATCACCTCAGATCTAGAATGTCGTCGTCGTTCATTCGAGTAGGGAATTCTACTGGCCCGGTGACCAGAATCAGCTCCAATCCCATCATCAAATAAATCACCACTCAAACCAAGTAGCCATCTGTCATGAGATCCCATATCCTCAGTATCATCAGTAGAGAAAAGAATGGTTGGTGAATCAATGAATCTCCTGGAGCTGCGCCTTGAAAATGCATCCCAGAACAGTCGCCTGCCATTCCTTCTAGCCTCACGATTACTTGCATCAGCATTGCTACTCCTCAAAAAGTTGGAAGAAATGCTCATAACGTCAACATGAAGTACACTTCCATCTTCCTGGCCTTGTTCCCTATTGGACACAAGGAATCCCAAACCAGAAGGTATTGCCTCCCGTAGAGAATCATTTCCACGTGAGTCAAAAGATGATGGAATTTCAGAAACATTAGCAGAATCAGTATCAGCATTTGAACTTTGCACACCCCTTACGTCAGCCACATGATTCTCAACAGACACTTCCTGAGAACGGGAATTCCGCATCCCTTGTGGAGACGAACTACTTGGACACATAACCTCAGGACAGGTCTGAGATACATTCTTGTCTGCTGAAATGTCAATGCCATTGACCGCATCCACATTAGCCGAGCGATTCAAAGAGACTGTTTCTGAAGATTGTTGTTGTCTAAACGAAGTACTAGCTGTAGGACTATTATCCATACAAGATTGGTCGTGACTATATTCAGCACTTACCTGATGAGGAATTAGTTCTTTACTTTTGGACAAGCACTTCCCCTGGTTACTTGTGTCAACACTGCTTAAACCTTCTTCAACAATGCGCTCAGATGATGATCCAATTTCAATAACGGGGCAGGTGAACGGTGATCCAGTACTGGAGACCAACAAGGTTCCCTCTCCGGAGTTCTGGACTTGATTGATATCACGATCAGATTGCTCTGCACATTTCACAAGACACACAGCTGCAGTGATCTTCCATCTGCAGGAAAAGTACTGAAAGAATGAGTCTCTTTTTGTTATTTATATGAGTATAACCACCAAGTGCACTATCAAGGCATCAAAACAACTACATAACATTACAGTTTTTGGAGCCACCAAAAAAGTATTAAACTTACATTTCTATACTGTCCATCAGAAGAGATGAGCATTTACTCCCAAGTGAACACAAGTAACACAGAAATAAATAACTTCAGTTACACACTAAGTGGACTAATGCTAGGTATCTCAACCTAAATCAACAAGAAGCAAATTTTCTGCTTCAAGATTACACTGAAGCATGACTTTGTGGAAATAATAACATCAAGGTTGTCTTAAGAAGTGCATCGGAAAGCACTAAATAAAAACAACTGCAATCATTCGATATCTAATTACATGCCCCCACTTCTCCAGAGGATTCCTAAACGTTCATCATGGGACTACTATGAATAATAATAGACATGCACACACTTGTATTCTTATATTCTAGCAAAATACCATACTCATCCAAACTTTTAAATCTTCTCTATCTTCCGAGAATGGGTGCATATACACAGAAACATCCTACAAACCACTTCACACCACTACATCAGCACCACGGTTGATTCCCAGCTCAAGAACATAAGTTGTGCAAAAGACTATGTAATCATTTCTCCGCACCATTAAGAACCTTAACCTTCGAGTTCTACAATCATAATCAACCTTTCTCCAACCATTCCCTTAGCATCCCACCAATCACTCATCGGGAATCATCATTAAAGTTCATATTCAAAATCATCAAAAAAATCAAACAATATGGTTCAGAACCTGAAAACAAAGTTGAATCCTTTTGCTTCATTCACAATTGTTATACTGAACATATACATTAAAACAAACATAACTTGAACCGTCAATTCAATGTCCCCATTAACTAAATCCCCCAACTTTTTCAACAACACGATCACATAATTAGCAGTTCTAATAAATGAATTCAATATTCACATTTGCAGGGAAATTATAACACAAAATAAAGTAACTGAATATTACCGAGAACAGGATCAATCTTCTGCATCATTTGGACAACTCCCGTATATTTTTATTAGATTGTAACTCGAAATGAGAGAAATCAAAACCCCCCCTCCCCCCCCCCCCCCCCCCCCAAAAAAAAAAATAATTTAAAGAAAAAAAAAAGCTTCAAATTCTTCAAATTTGCACCAAATGATCAAATCCCAAATCATCCAAAACCAATAAAAATCGAATTTTGCATCCAAAAATGTAAAAATGATGAGAAATCCAAAAATGGGCATTGACGATTGAATTAAAGGCATCGATTTTAGTGGAGGACTGATCAAGAAAAAGAAAAAAAGGTACCTCTTGAGTAGCACGTGCGGAGGAGCCACCGCAGACGAAAGAGGAGAGTATGGAACGACTGGCGGTGCGATTGACTTGGGGCCGAGATGGGCGCGAGCCCAGTCGACTGCTGCTCGAACCCATTTGAGAAAGAGAGAGAGAGAGAGAGAGAGAGGAGAGAGAGAGAGCTGAGTTGGTGATGAACGATGATAATTGAAGCAAATCAGCTGACAGAGAAAGGAGAGAGAAAGAGAGCCCTTTCTTCCTTGTATTTCAAATTCAATTATTTTTGTGGACTTTCTGTGAGTCATATATTTAACATTATTTTTTGCTTGAAACATTCTGGTTATTCCCGACCGCAATATCAACGTGATATTTTTGGGATTTGGATCCTCTGTAGGCTTTTAGCATCATGAGCCTATTGAACAAATCATAAGCATTGATAGATTTTAGTCTAATGGTTACAATTATTATGATTTTTAGAATAATTCCTTATTTGTAACTGTTGGATTAAAATCCAACCACCCGTGTAATTTGGTCAGTAGACTCAGGATTCTGAGCTTAGGAGAGGATCCAAATCCATATTTTTGTAACAACACTGAATAAAATAAAATAGTTATTATGGACACTTCAAAAATCTCATTTTGCATTTGAGTAAATTGTAGCAATGATTTTTTTAATTTTAACTCAATTAGAACAATGGTCTCTCAACTAAAAATTAATTACAATTGGTCCCTCAACTAATAATTAATTACCATTGGTCCCTCAACGTTAATTCAACTGAAGAAATGGTCCCTCAACTTAAATATAATTGTAGCAATGGTCCCTCAATTTTAACCTAATTGTAGCAATAGTCATTCCAACATAACTCATTTTGACAAAATTCTGACGAAATTTATGAAAAAGACCATATCTATACGTTCTGATGAGTTGAGAGACCCCAATTGTAGTAATGATCATTTCAACATAACTTATTTTGACAAAATTCTAACGAATTTGACGAAAATGACCATAGCTACACATTTAAATGAATTGAGGGAGCAATGATAATAGATTTTTAATTAATGGATCATTACTCAAATTTGATTAAAATTGAGGAACCATTTCTACAATTTACACTTTGCATTTCAACGGTGATCAATGGAGTGAATAAAATGTTTTGTCACTAAATTGGTATAAAGGTGGTGTCAGTGAGATTTTTTATTTTTGAAATTATTATTTATATTGTGAAAAGTTGGATGTGGGCTCGTTGGAAAAAATGGGCCTAAACCCAACCTGAAATAATCGAGCCTGGAAGATTGTAAATCTGCCAACAGTGGTTTCTACAGTGGACCAGGCTTGACCGACTAATCAAATTTATGGGCCTGGATCATCGAGGTTCGGCCCAAATTTTGAAGAATAGAACGAAGCTGCAGTTTAACATCTACAAACGTAACGAGCCGTAGAATGTGGACAAGAATAATTGAAGCATATTATAAATTCTGAGTGATAGGGGGTACGTGTTTGGTCTACGTACGAGGGCAATTAAGGCATGAAATATGTAGTGGTGATTGGTATATTTCAGATGCACAAAACCAATATACGTTTTATGATCTTACCCAAAATATGGATAATTTTAGATGTGTCAAGACGTATGATTATCTCTATATAATTATAAATTGGAGTAAAAGAAAAAGAATAATGTATGTGTTTCCCCGCTTACGATTAACGAATCTTTACTGTTCGAACATCATAATCGAAACCGTTCGTCTTCTTTATCAGTTTTTCATCATCTAAGATCATATAATCAAAAAACATTCAAGTTAGAGATTAGTCATTCATACGTGCTAAACCAATCAACGATTTTGGTAATAAGTAACATCCTCATAATGAACCTTTGTTTTGTGCATATGAATGACTAAAAGATCTCCAAATTAAATAATTTTTTGCATATATAATCTTTAGATGATGATAAAGAAATAAATGATTTTCGATTATGATATTCAGATAATATAGATTCGTTAATCGTACGTGGAATAGCAAGTAAGTCGTCCTATATAAGGGACACAAGCATTATCAAAATAAAAATGACAGCACTGCAGGAGTATATGTGAATATTTGATCAAGGTCGGCAGAGAAATATCCAGTTGAATTGTAGGATTCACCTACCAGTAAAACAACTATGGCAGTGACTAGCAGTCGGTGAAGATGGTGGACACGTTTTACCTCTTCAGAAGCAACTCCATGCCTGTATCTACCTAGCTTTCTATCCTTTCTCATGATCATATATGCATCAATTATATATGCCCATTACCATATAAGTACAATTGTTTCGGTTAATCAATTTATCATATGATTGCTTAGTTTTCAAATAGCCACGATCCATCAGCCTAATGCATCGGGAAATTGCTTAGTTTTTAGAACCTTGTAACGATTTCCTCCAAATCGCATTGGGAGATCAAGGTCGAACGCCTAGGTGCCAACTAGGCGGCTGCCTAGAGCGATTTTTAGAACACTGTGCAGAAGCATGACCACACAAAATCAATCCTAGGCTCCTATACCTACTAGCCTACCACTACCATTCTTATATAAAATAACTTCTAGATAAAATTGTAATTCTAGGGTTTAAAGTGTTCTGCTTTATTCTTCTCACGTAGAGGGTGATATATAGTTATACAAGTTCCTATGACATAGGAAATAGGAATCCCAATTATACAGGGATATCCATTACATGATTTCATACCCAAAATATATCTATATTCCTCAATCTCAAAGTTAACTCATGCCAACACTCCCCTTCAAGTTGGTGCGAAGATATCTTCTAGGCCCAACTTGTCAAGTAAGTCTCGAAACACTCTCGTTGATATTGCATGAGTCAGTACATCGACTAACTGTTATTCATACCTCACATATGGAATGTCAATCAATCTGATATCTAACTTTTTCTTGATAAAATGTCTATCCACTTCAACATGTTTTGTGCGATCATGTTGAACCGGATTATTAGCTATCTCTCTTGTAGCTTGATTATCGCATTACAATGACATAGCTCCCTGTGATTTGAATCTTATTTCTGTGAGAAGAATCCTTAGCTACAATAATTCAAAATCCCATGTGCCATACCCCAATACTCTGCCTCTGCCGTGGACCTAGCTACCACGTTTTGTTTTTTGCTTCTCCAAGTTACAATATTTCTTGCCACAAAAGTGAAGTAGCCTGACGTATAGCGTCTATCAGTAATATTCCCAGCTTAATTAACATCTGTATATCCTTTTATCTCCATATGCCCATGTTTCCTGAAAATCAACCCTTTTCCAGGTGCACCTTTCAGATACCATGTTGAAATTTTTTAGATCGACGGGTCTGAGGGGGGCCCCACTCTAACGACACCAATATTGTCCCCAAATTTACCACCTGCCTAATTCGTCAAGTGTGGGGTTTTACCACAAAAGGTCTCAGTATTAGTTAGAGTAGGGTAATCATATTTAAACCCATTATTTTCTTTTGCATGTGGGATTCCAACACTCCACCTCACGTGTAACCCCATTTAGTGGTTCACACGTGGTGATCCACACATCGGCAATTGAAACTTAGAGGTCGGCTCTATGTTAAGAGTCTAGACTTGTTTTCAATATAACTCAAAGGCCGGCTCTTTGTTAAGAGTTCTGACTTGTTTCCTTCTTGGTGACAAGCTTATTAGCTTGCACGGGCTCGAACCTTGACCCTGATACCAAGATAAAATTGTAATTCTAGGGTTTAAAGTGTTCTACTTTATTCTTCTCACATAGGAGAAATTTTTAGTTGTAACGGGAACACGAATGGTACACCACATGTTTTTATGCAAATGGTGGAAAATGTGAATTTTTAAGTTATTAACATTTTAACACACATAACCCACCATTTATATAGAAACACGTGATGTACCCTCTCGTTTGACGATCGCACTGAAAAATCTCTCCTCACATGGGGAGTGATATATAGTTATACAAGTTCTTATGACATTGGAAATAGGAATCCCAATTATATAGGGATATCCATTACATGATTTCATACCCAAAATATATCTATATTCCTTAATCCAAAAGTTGACTCACGCCAACACTTATTTCCTTCACAGTAAAAGAACAGTTCGTTACATATAATCTTCTTCTGTCCTTTTCATTTTTAGATGGATAAAATTTCATATAATTTGAAAGATCTTTTTTTTTTTTTTTCATGCGACACCTTCACGATGAACGTTGATCTTTTGTTTTTTGTACCGACATCATTGCACTATAAAACCCCACTACTTTCTTCAACTATTCGCCACACCAAACTAAAAGAGAAGAGAGTAGCTAGCTAAGCATTAGAAGTCTCTGTGTAACTACAACAAATTAACAAGATCAAGAAGATGCACGGTCCGGGAGGAGGCGGCGGCGGTCCGGGAGGACAAGGAGGAGGCGGTCCTGGAGGACAAGGAGGCGGAGGACAAGGAGGCGGCGGTCCTGGAGGACAACGAGGCGGAGGTCCTGGAGGACAAGGAGGCGGCGGTCCTGGAGGACAAGGAGGCGGCGGACCTGGAGGACAAGGAGGCGGCGGACCTGGAGGACAAGGAGGCGGCGGACATGGAGGACAAGGAGGCGGCGGTGATAAGGGAGGAGGCGGACACGGGGGTGGAGGTGGACAAGGTGGTCGCTGCTAAGTGCTAATGGTTTCGACCAAGAACTTCTGGTGTACTTACATATACATATACATATACATACATATATATATATATATATATATATATATATGCGTGCTGATCATGTTTTATAGTTAATTAGTTTACTAATCATGTTTAAGATCACTACCAGACCAGCTCAGCTGGAGATGATCAGGGGAGGATCATGTGTCCGTCCATAATGGTACTATGTTGAATATGCTGCATGTTATGATATCAATAAAATGGAGTTCCGTTTATATTTATATGATATGATTGCTCTTTTCTCTAGTGCTTTATTTAGAAACCTTTTAGCATTCTTGATAATTAATCTATGGCTTATTTTTAGCCTGTTTGGAACTTTACATTAATCTCACTTTATTCCCTGTAACACTAAAGTCACCAGTTTACTCATTGAAACTTCAAATTCGTTTCATTTTGATTTGTGGGCTCTCTCTTCTCCCTGAAACTTATAGGTCATCTTGTAAACATACGTGGAACCTAATATCCAATAAGAAAATGTCACATTTTGCAATAAGGTTGATTATAAATCTCTATTATGCGTCAACATTTAACAATCAAAGAATATTAAGCTTAAAAGAAATGGAAGATATGAAAAAAAAATAAAAAAGAAATTGATTAGCCTGCACCCAAAATTAAACCCAAATAAGAAATTAACAAATTTAAGGCAACGAGAAACTAATTTTGAGTTTTAGAGGGATGACTTTCAAGTTTTAAGGGCCAAAATGGAATCAAAACTGAGTTATAGGGGCAAAGTGAAGCGAATTTGGAGTTTTAGATGGTAAAATGATGACTTTTGAGTTACAGAGAGCAAAGTAAGACTAAAAAAAATAGAGTTCAGGGTGTAAAGCTAAAAATAAATCTTAATCTATTTCTAAAGATCTTTATTTTTTTTTTAATTTTTTTTTAAGGGGAGACAATTGATGGCAAGTCACGGTTATCCACCATTTCAGGGCCGAAAAGACTCATAGAGGCATTTCAGTTTCATTCTAACCACTAGTCTGGCTTCCACTCTAACAACGGGTTTCGAACCCAAGACCTCAAATTTTTAATTCGAATCCAAAAATCTTTAATTGATTATATATATATATATATATATATATATATATATATATATATATATCGATACAAGACGAGAAGATTACAATTCTTTTTAAGAATTTAATTGATGGTAAAATGGGATATCAAAGAAATAGTTGCAAAAGTGGCTTGTGTGCGATGTCACTGGAGTTTAAAATGTTTTGAAAATACATACATAGAGGTTATAAGAATTTAATCGATGGTAAAATGGGATATCAAAGAAGTAGTTGCAAAAGTGCAGGATGTGTGCTGGAGTTTAAAAATGTTTTGAATATATACATAGAGGTTATAAAAAGTAGATATATATATAATTTTACAGTCATTAAGGAAGGAACTTCTATGTTTTTTTTTTTTTTTTTATAAAATAGGGATTAATTGTGGGGCTAACATGAAATTGAACTTCAATGATCCAAATCGTCTATTATCCAAATTGCACCTCATAAATCATCATTGCAAAATAGTAGCCAAATCAGAAATATTTGAGACATCTAATTAAGTTCAAAGAAATTGATAAACACTATGTTTAAAGAAACATTGAAATTTCATCATGTCACTAAATTGGCACATGGTTTTAGATGAAATTGAATTTTTGCATATATGATCTGAAAATTTGAGATTTACAAAATAAACGATTTTGGATCTTTGAGGTTTGGTGTTGGATGGGTCCCACCGCTAATCCCCATTTCTTACCAAAAAAAAATAAAAAATGATATCTCTCCTTAAAGGGCCTGTATAATTTTATACTTACCAAAAGATTGCATTGTTCAAAAGATACAAATACTACGAAAGTTAGATTATGACATAAGTTGTAGTGTTCAACCACTAATTGTTCAAAAGATAGAGATGCTATAAAAGTTGGAAATATATACATATGTCCACAATTATCATAAAGTTGGCACTGATCATGTTCTCGATGTTCACAAAGATTTTTCTTGGACATCTTAGGTGTTGCTTGTTTGTGAATGAACATCTTTCGTTCGTCACCATGTTGTAGAAATGGTGCCTTTTCTTTTTTGTTTTTTTTCAAAATTTCAAATTTGTCAATGTATTACATATCGAACACAAACAAGCAATATTGATGTTTGAATAAGGAATACTTTTCTCGTCGATTAATTTGTGTTCAAGAATTATGGTGATGTTAATTTACTATCATCTCGGGTATATTAAATCCAATGAACCTACGAAAAATTTACTTACAGCTTTGGTTTCTTAAATCTAATGAATCTCATTTGCTTTAGGTTTATGGAACTTTTTGGACCTACAACACATGTTTATTAAACATACCCTAAGAGGCTAAGATATGTATACACTTTCACATAAAACTTACTCACAAATACTAAACCTCTAGCATAGGTTGATTTATAACATGACACGGTTTTTTAATTTGATGGATGGCAATTGTGAATAGGTTACGTTATGGACTTCACACTCAACATCATATGAAATAAATGAACAGAGATCATATCATTAAGCCCCTATAAAATAATAAGATGGATTGTGGGGGTTTAATTTCCTCTAAGTTAATTAGTTAATTTGACACTTACTGAAGTAACTGATCACGGTATGGTTTACTGCAAAATTTCCACTCCTTTTATTTTAAGTACGATGCGAATCTAACTACAAACAACTAGCTAAGCAGACCAATTAGCAAATAAAACCCTATATAATACTCAGAGCCGGCCCTGAGGGTGTGCAAAAGGTGCCACCGCACAGGGCTCTCGATTTAGAAAGGCCCCCAAATTTTCATTACATGTATGCAGAAACATATAAAATAAATTAGACACAAATGACAATCATATATGTGGTTCAAGTGTGGCGGTGTAGCTATTTTACCTTATGGTCCATGTGCTGGGTTCGAATCCATGTGCTATTGCTTTGCTATTATTCAAGTTTTTGCAAATTTGTAAACTTAAAAAGCAGATAACAAAAACACATCCAGCATGTATCGAACTCAAGACCTTTGAAGGTAAGGAAAAAAACCTGGTGATCAAACAACTTATTTTTGTTACAATAACCTGTAATATTTTGGTTTTATAGATGAAAAATTGAAAAATTGAAAAAAAAAGAAAAAAAGAAAAAGAAATATAACATAAAAAAAATGAAAGGCCTCCATTTAAGTTTTGCATAGGGCCCTAAATACTCAGGCCGGTCCTGATAATACTGTAGCTAATTACTAAGAACCCACATGCAGCAGGTCAGGGATAATTTAATCGCTGCAAAAACTAGCTTCTGAAGTACGAGCCGGTGGTGACATGAGAGCCTTTTTCTCGACTTGTAGATAAGGGCTGATGGACCTTGGTTGCCCTAATGCAGAAGCATGACCGCACAAAATGGATCATAGGCTCCTACCTAGTACCTACCAGTCATATAAAATAACTTATTTTCTTCCCAGTAAAAGAATAGATCGTTACGTACAATCTTCTTCTATCCTATTCATTTTTAGATGGATAAAAATTCATATAATTTGAAAGATCTTTTTTTTTATGTGGCACCTTCACAACGAAGCAAAGTAGTTGCTAATTACTGGCTAGCATTTGAAGATAATGTACGTGGAAGTTGGTCTTTTGTTTTTTGTACCGACATTATTGCATTGTAAAACCCCACTACTTTCTTCAGCAGTTCGCCACACCAAATAAAAAAGAAGAGAGTAGCTAGTTATATCGAAGCATTACAAGTCTCTGTGTAACTACATCAAATTAACAAGATCAAGAAGATGCAGGGTCCGGGAGGAGGCGGCGGCGGTCCGGGAGGACCAGGTGGCGGCGGTCATGGAGGGCCAGGCGGCGGCGGTCAGGGAGGACCAGGCGGCGGCGGTTCTGGAGGACCAGGTGGCGGCGGTCCTGGAGGACCAGGCGGCGGCTTTGGAGGACCAGGAGGCGGAGGCGGTTTTGGAGGACCAGGAGGCGGCTTTGGAGGACCAGGAGGTGGCTTTGGAGGACAAGGCGGCGGCTTTGGAGGACAAGGCGGCGGCTTTGGAGGACCAGGCGGCGGCTTTGGAGGACCAGGCGGCGGCTTCGGAGGACAAGGCGGCGGCTTCGGAGGACAAGGCGGCGGCTTCGGAGGACAAGGCGGCGGCTTCGGAGGACCAGGCGGCGGCTTTGGAGGACAAGGCGGCGGTTTCGGAGGACCAGGGCATCACGGCCCAGGAGGCGGTTTTGGAGGACCAGGCGGCGGTTTTGGCGGTCCCGGCGGCGGTCCGGGAGGACCAGGGCATCACGGCGGACACGGGGTGGAGGTGGACCAGGTGGAGGTGGAGGTGGACCAGGTGGAGGTGGAGGTGGAGGTGGACCAGGTGGTCGCTGACTGACTGCTAAGTGCTAACTAATGGTCTCGACCAAGAACTTCTGGTGTACAAGAAGTAGTTTATATATATACATATATATGCTGATATTGTTTTATAATTAATCAGTTTACTAGTCATGTTTAAGAAGTAAGATCACCACCAGACCAGCTCATCTGGAGACGATCTGGGGAGGATCATGTGTCTGTCACTATGTTGAATATGCTGCATATTATGATATTTCCATTCATAGGACATGCATGATTGCTCTTTTCTCTGGTGCTTTATTTAGAAACCTTTTATCATTCTTGATAATTAATCTATTTCCAAAGATGTTTAATTGATTAAATTGTATATATCGGTACAAGACAAGAAGACTACAATATTTTTAAGAATTTGTTGATGGTAAGATGGGATATCAAAGAAATAGTAGCAAATGTGGTTGTGTGATGTTGCTGGAGTTTAAAATGTTCTGGAAATATACACATACCAAAACAGAGGTTATAAAAAGTAGATTTTTTATAAGAAAATTAATGAAAAGTTAAAAAAAAACTTCCCTTTTAATAAAAATATATTTTTAAAGGTATAGTGAATAGTAATAGGGAAATGTATAAATATGGTTTTTCATTAAAAATAAACAGTACTAGGAGTGTTTTGTTAAAACTCCTGTTTTTTATAGCCTTCAAGGGAAGTACGTTCATTTTTGAAACAAAATAGGAATTGGTTGTGGGGTTAACACCACATTGAACTTCAACGATTCGAATCGTCTATTTTTCAAGTTGCACCTAATAGATCATCTTTGTTAAATATTAGTAAATTAAAAATATTTGAGGCATCTAATTGAGTTTAAAGAAATTAGAGACCACTATATTTAAAGAAACATTGAAATTTCACATGATGCTAAATTGACAAATAGTTTCGGTGAAATATAATATTTGCATAGATGATCTGAGAATTGAGACTTACAAAATAAACGGCTCGGATCGTTGAGGTTCGATGTTCGATGGATCCCACAACTAATTTCTATTTCTTACAAAAAATTACGATCTCTCTCCTTAAAGGGCTTGTATAATTTTATACTTACCAAGAGATTGGCACTGTTCAAGTGATACAAATACTACGAAAGTTAGATTATGTACATATGTTGTAGTGTTCAACCACTAATTGTTCAAAAGATAGAGATGCTATAAAAGTTATATATATATGTGTGTCCACAATTATCAGAAAGTTGGCATTGCTCATGTGCTCGATGTTCGCAAAGAATTTTATTGGACATCTTAGGTCTTGCTTTTTTGTGAATGAACATCTTTCTGTTCGTCAACATACAAATACTACAAAATTTTTCTACTTCCTAACATACAGTCAATTATTTTGGTCATTCCGTTTGAAATCCCTACTAAATAAAGATCAAAATTATAAAAATACCTTAAATTTTTTTTACTAGAATTGAGAGTAATTTTACCATTTTTTCTTACTTAACCAAAATTTTTCTTAAACCTAAACCCTAAGCCCAATAAAAGCTCAAATTAAATCCAAACTCCAAAGCAAGAAGGCCCAAATCAGATAGTCTCCAAACAGAAGCACCACTACATCCTACATGGCTCGGTAGTCGGTAGTGAAGAAAGGAAACGAAGAAGTCCGAACGGTACTTGCTTGCGACTCAGAAACCCCTACGCCTACGCATATTCGCACACCACCTAGAAGCCCCTCCATAAACCCCTCTCTCTCTCTCGACTCTCTCTCTTCGAACAGTGCTTTCGACTGTCGGCTCTGCCCTAGAAGCTTTTCAGGTAACGGTCCTTTATCTGCTTCGCATCTTTCACTTACGAATGTATGTATTTTTGTGTAATTATATTCAAACCCTGTTGCAAGATTTCCGAAATCTGGAAACAAATTTGATTATTCTGTACCTTAGAGAAAATCGAGAGCACCAACAATTTGTTTCTCTTCGGATTTTGGTTGAAACCCATTTAATTTCAGTGGATTAGTTAGTGTTAGGTTGTATTTAATGTTTAAACCCTGTTGCCAGATTTCCGAAATTTGAATGAAAATTTGATTTTTGTGTTACTTGGAGAAAATTAAGACGACCAATTTGTTCCTGTACCGAATTTAGTCGAAATCCATTTGGTTTAAGTGGATTAATTGGTGTTTAGTGAACTAATAGATTTTTTTGAAATAGCAGATTTGGGAATGGATGACAGTCTGTACGATGAGTTTGGGAACTACATAGGCCCGGAAATTGAGTCTGATCAAGAGAGTGATAGAGAGGATGAGGATGAGGAGCTACCCGATAGGCAAGAGGATGGGGCTGCATCGGACGGCTGATGATGCAGCTGCTGGTCCCAATGGGTGGCTGACTGCCGCCAATGATGTCGATATGGATAACCAGGTTGTCCTTGCTGAGGACAAAAAGTATTATCCAACCGCTGAAGAGGTCTACGGTGAAGATGTTGAGACATTGGTTATGGATGAAGATGCACAGCCTCTGGAACAACCCATTATTAAGCCTGTTAGGAATGTCAAGTTTGAGGTTGGTGTCAAGGATTCTTCCACCTACGTGTCAAATCAGTTCCTTTTGGGACTCATGTCGAACCCATCTCTGGTTCGGAACGTTGCTCTTGTTGGGCATTTGCAGCATGGGAAGACGGTGTTCATGGATATGTTGGTAGAGCAGACTCACCATATGTCCACTTTTGATTCAAATAGCGAGAAGCACATGAGGTACACTGATACAAGGATTGATGAGCAAGAGAGGAGGATATCCATTAAAGCCGTTCCTATGTCCCTAGTACTCGAGGATAGCAGGTCTAAATCGTATTTGTGCAACATCATGGATACACCTGGTCATGTCAATTTCTCTGATGAAATGACTGCAGCTCTCAGGCTTGCTGACGGTGCTGTCTTGATTGTGGACTGCTGCAGAAGGAATGATGGTAAGCAACTCATCTTTTGTTTCATTGAATAATAAAAATGCAACATGATATAGTGCCCTTTATTATACTCTAGTTTTCTGTTTTTATTAATTTAGGATCTTCATCAACATTATATAGCTCTCATACATCATTGCTTCATCTGTAGAAGAATGTCTAATGGTATGATATGCCGCTTGCTTAGAAGATTATATGATTTTGATTAACAGGTAAATACCGAGAGGGCTATACGCCATGCAATCCAAGAGCGACTACCAATTGTGGTTGTAATCAACAAGGTAAGATTTTCTCTTATTTCAGGGGCTTCTTTATTTCTCAATTTTTTTTCTTTCCATATTGTGATGGTATGAACCCATTAACTATATTTTTATACTTACCAACATGAATTTTCATGTCAAAGGTTGACAGATTGATAACAGAACTCAAATTGCCCCCAAGAGATGCTTACTTCAAGATAAGGCATACTTTGGACGTCATTAATACCCACATAACTGCGGCCTCGTCAACTGCTGGCAATGTACAAACTATTGACCCTGTTGCAGGAAATGTTTGCTTTGCAAGTGCTACTGCAGGATGGTCATTCACATTGCAATCGTTTGCAAAGCTATATCTTAAACTCCATGGGGCTGATAATACGGACGTAGATAAGTTTGCTTCTCGTCTCTGGGGAGATATGTACTATCATCCGGATGACAGGAGTTTCAGGAGAAAACCCCCTGCCAGTGGAGGAGAAAGGTCATTTGTCCAGTTTGTGCTTGAACCCCTGTATAAAATATATAGCCAGGTAATTGGAGAACATAAAAAGAGTGTGGAGGGAACTCTTGCCGAATTTGGTGTCACGCTCAGCAATGCAGCTTACAAGTTGAATGTTAGACCTCTGCTGAGGTTGGCTTGTAGCTCAGTCTTTGGATATGCCTCAGGCTTTACTGATATGCTGGTTCAACATATTCCTTCCCCTAAAGGTGCCGCCACTAGGAAAGTAGACCATATATATACTGGACCAAAGACTCTTCGATTTACAAGGCCATGAAAGATTGTGATCCTGATGGTCCTTTGATGGTCAATGTGACAAAATTGTATCCCAAGTCCGACTGTAGTGTGTTTGATGCATTTGGTAGGGTTTATAGTGGCAAGATTCAGACAGGGCAGACTGTACGGGTATTGGGAGAAGGTTATTCACCAGAGGATGAGGAGGACATGACAGTCAAAGAGGTGACAAAGTTATGGCTTTATCAAGCTCGAGACAGGATACCAATAGCCGAGGCTCCTCCTGGTACTTGGGTTCTTATTGAAGGTGTGGATGCTTCTATTATGAAAACTGCCACCATCTGTAATGAATATTATGACGAGGATGTGTACATCTTCCGTCCTCTTCAGTTCAATACGCTGCCAGTTGTGAAAACAGCAACCGAGCCACTAAATCCAAGTGAGCTGCCAAAGATGGTGGAGGGACTGAGAAAGATAAGCAAGAGTTATCCTCTTGCAATCACTAAAGTTGAGGAGTCTGGGGAGCACACGATATTAGGGACAGGAGAACTCTACTTGGATTCAATAATGAAGGACCTAAGAGAGCTTTATTCGGAAGTAGAAGTCAAGGTAATTGTTTGCTCCCAGTTCTCATCCTCTCTTCACTTTTTTTCTTTTAAAGAAAATTTCCACCCCTAGGATTTAAAAAATTTATTTTATTTTCTTGATGGATATGCTTTTGTTTGTAGGTTGCGGATCCTGTTGTTTCGTTCTGTGAAACAGTGGTAGAGTCTTCATCAATGAAATGTTTTGCTGAAACACCCAATAAGAAGAATAAAATAACTATGGTAAGAAGCAACCCGATTTTCAGAAATTTTATGTGATTCAGTTTTTAAATTATAATCTCCTAAAAACCTTTGTCCTTTTGTAGATTGCAGAGCCATTGGAGAGAGGACTTGCTGAGGACATTGAGAATGGTGTTGTAAGCATTGATTGGTCTCGGAAGGATATAGGCAATTTTTTCCAGACTAGATATGAGTGGGATGTTCTTGCTGCACGGTCCATATGGGCATTTGGCCCTGATAAGCAGGTAATGCACCTGTTATAGGCAACACGTTATTTTGTTTACGAAGTTCTTTTGCGGTCCTTGGTTCTGTTTTAATCTTAATGGTTATAGTATAAACATAGCTTTAAATAGCCCCACCCCCAACAGGCGGGTAGCAAATCACCTTGTGACATAACTTTCTTTTATTGATCTCTCCCGCCCTCTTCGTTTCTTCAAATTCTACTTATACGTTCCAGGCCTGGTGTGATTTTGTTTGACAAAAGGGTATATTTGCAGGGACCTAACATTCTATTAGATGACACACTTTCCACTGAAGTTGACAAAAGCTTGCTAAATGCTGTGAAGGATTCGATTGTTCAAGGGTATTTTACTAGAATTCTGTTCTTTTCCCCTATATTGTTGTTTCAATTTATTGCTCACTATGTGTTATGGCACAGGTTTCAGTGGGGTGCTCGAGAAGGACCCCTTTGTGATGAACCAATCAGAAATGTAAAGTTCAAAATTGTGGATGCAAGGATTGCCCAAGAGCCATTACATCGTGGATCTGGCCAGATCATTCCCACATCTCGACGTGTGGCCTATTCATCTTTCCTGATGGCAACACCACGGCTTATGGAGCCAGTATATTATGTGGAGGTAAATCCTTGCTCCTTCACTTACATCATAATGAGTGATTTTCAAAAAGGGTTGTATTCAAGTCCTCAGGAATTTAGATTGCTTAATGTATGAATCCCCTCACTTCAATGATTTTCTGATTAATTTCTGATGCTGTTGTTTCAGATACAAACACCCATAGACTGTATTTCTGCAATCTACACTGTTCTATCTCGCAGGCGTGGACATGTTACAGCTGATGTTCCTCAACCTGGGACCCCTGCTTATATCGTCAAGGTTTGTTGGATCAACTTTATTTTTGTAGAGTTTCAATTGCATTATACTGGCCTTGGATTTTATCATGAGAGTGAAGAATGTTCAGTCATAATATTGATTTCATTTATTATTCTCATCCATGGAATTTCAGGCGTTCTTACCAGTGATTGAATCTTTTGGCTTTGAAACTGACTTGAGGTACCATACCCAAGGACAGGCTTTCTGCCTCTCAGTGTTCGATCACTGGGCTATAGTTCCTGGGGATCCACTTGATAAAAGCATCGTTCTGCGACCCCTTGAACCTGCCCCGATTCAGCATCTGGCCCGTGAGTTTATGGTCAAGACAAGACGTAGAAAGGTAAAACATTCAGTCCTATCTTTCTCTTCCACTTTTGGTACCTCTAGAAAACGTAAGTTTCCCAAACTATGCACTGCTGCCTTGTTATATGGCTGAGTTTTCTTTTGTTCAATTTGTTCATTTCCAGGGAATGAGCGAGGATGTGAGCATCAACAAATTCTTCGACGAGGCTATGATGGTGGAGCTGGCTCAGCAGGCAGCTGATCTTCATCTCCAAATGATGTGATCATAGCGGCTTCACAATACGGTGTCCACGTTGCCAGAGTTGAGGAGCGAGACTGTACGCGATTTTAGTACGACGAAAACCAGTAGAAGTATTTGTAGTGTTGAGCTTACGAGTTGCAATTTTGAATGCAAGAGTAAATCTAGCTGTTGTTACTTTTGGACGTCCAATACTCTTGTGACCGTTGTACCCGATATTCGTCAAATCCTTCAAACTTCATAGAAAAATCGATGCCGATCATCAATGCATAGATACTGTGATGTGAGAATTTCTAAATTATTGTTCTCTCTGACTGATACATGTGTTATCCCCTTTTTCTTTACGGGAGAAACTTGTTTACACTGGCATTTTAAGCTAATTATGCGATATCACGTGTTTAAACATTTATGTATTACAGTGTGTGATTAGCTCGGAGTACTGAGGGTTAGTTTGGTATTAATGTGCTTTGAAAAAAAGGTTGTTTCTATTGTGCTGTAAGAATAAGCAACTGTGAAATAAAGCAGCATAGTGTTTGGTAAATTTTTTTGTAAAAGTGCTTTTGAAAAAAAAAAAAACAATATTATAATGTTTGGTAAACTTTTATGTAAAACAGATGTAAAAAAAAAGTCAGTTTTTCAAAGTTAGGTTTTGCAGTTTTTTGTTTTTAGTTTTTTTTCATCTAAAACTGTGAAAAAAAAGCTAAAGCTGAATGTTTATCAAACACAGAAACAGCTTCCAGTTTTTTTTAGAATCGTTTCAGTACCAAACCAAGCCTGACCCTCGTCATCAAGTTCTTCCTTTTCCATGATTTTTCGTTTTCGTTTTCTTATAAGAAATTTTAATTGATCTTAGAGGTGGAAGGCGAGAGATAATTTTCTTTGTTTCTTTGCCATATATTTTGTTTTTCATTTCCAAATTAATAATTAATTAGGTAAACAGAGGGTCTTCTGAAAAATGACATTACCAGGAAAGCCCCAACCGTTGAATTTCAAGCCTTCCTCCTCCAAATGTCACTACACATCTGAAATCCATATTAATTTGCTTTTCATGCATTGCTATACAGATATTTTCATACATTTTCGATCGATATCGGATCATACAAAGGCAAATCCAAGAACCCTAACCCTAGCTTCGTCCCCCTTTTCCCCTCTGCAACAATCAGAATTTGATCGGAAAAATCAGGTAAAAGTTAGGGTTTTGTACATTTCTCAATCCTTTGCAGTCAGTAAATTCTCTGTGCAATTAAAGATTCAATCTTTATGGACCCACCATTTTTCTCTGTACTTACATTCACTGTATAATCTGAGCATTTCTGTATAGAATTTGTGTATGAGAATTGCAGTATATTGGGATCAAATACAAAAATGCAATCCAAAACCCTAACCCTAGCTCCAGCTCTCAATTTTTTTCCAAATCTCAAACCTCCACACAAAACCCTAGCTTTCCACCAAATTTCAGTCCTAATCATCACCTTCCTCGCTTATGCTTCCTTCCATGCCTCCAGAAAGCCCCCAAGCATTGTCAAGAGCGTGCTTGGGCCGGCATTTCAGGCCAATTCAAGCTCCGTCGACACGGGGTGGGCTCCCTTTGATGGTCCCCGGGGCACTCACCGGCTAGGAGAGCTTGATCTTGCGTTTCTTTCCGCGTATTCGATCGGAATGTACTTTGCAGGACATGTCGGTGATCGAATTGATTTGAGGCTGTTTCTTGTATTTGGGATGATGTGTAGTGGCATTTTAACAATATTTTTCGGGTTAGGATATTGGTTTGATGTTCATGTATTGGGGTACTTTATGGCGGTTCAAGTTCTTTGTGGATTGGTTCAGTCGATTGGGTGGCCTTGTGTGGTGGCTATTGTGGGAAACTGGTTTGAGAAAGGGAAGAGGGGGTTGATCATGGGGATCTGGAGCTCACATACCTCAGGTTGGAAACATCATTGGGTCGGTTGTGGCATCAGGGGTTTTGGAATTCGGATGGGGTTGGTCCTTTGTGGTGCCCGGGGTTTTGGTGATTTTGGCTGGGATTGTGGTGTTTCTGTTTCTTCCTGTGTGTCCAGAAGACTTGGGGTTTGAGTCTCCAGTGAAGGAGATTCAGATGAATGTGGAAGTTAATGGCGTGGAGAATTTGGAGGGGAAAGTAGAATCAGAGGAAGCAGGGCTTCTTGGAACAGAGTATGCAGATGCAGACACAGGTTCTTTGGCTGCAATTGGGTTTCTGGAGGCATGGAGGTTACCGGGTGTGGCACCATTTGCTTTCTGCCTCTTCTTTTCGAAGCTTGTGTCTTACACTTTTCTGTACTGGTTGCCCTTTTACATAAGGCACACAGGTACTTCCTCCAGTTAGATTTGTATACATGATTTTGCAATTGAATTCTTGGGATCGTCTTGGGATTATTGTAGGGTTTCATGCTTTAGTTTTAAGCAACCACCTTCGTTCATCTTATTTTCATTTTGAGTTTTGTTTCACCTTGCAGCTGTTGCCGGCGTGCATTTGTCACACAAAACTGCCGGGAACCTTTCAGCCATATTCGATATTGGAGGTGTCCTTGGCGGAATTCTAGCAGGATTAATAGCTGATATGATAGAAGCTCAAGCTGTAACCTCAATCGTGTTTTTGTTACTTTCCATTCCAGCCCTTGTTCTCTACCGGCTTTATGGCAGCCTATCGATGGTCACCAACATTCTTTTGATGTTTCTTTCTGGATTGCTGGTGAATGGCCCGTATTCACTCATCACAACAGCGGTTGCAGCTGATCTTGGTACGCAAACCACGATCGTAGGAAATTCCAGAGCATTAGCTACTGTGACGGCAATCATAGACGGAACAGGTTCGGTTGGGGCAGCTATTGGCCCGCTTTTGGCCGGGTATATCTCCACGACGGGGTGGAACAACGTGTTTGTTATGCTAATTCTTGCTATTTTCTGTGCAACTTTGTTTTTGATTCGGATTGCGAGAACCGAGATTAAAGGGAAGTTGAATGAGGGAAATGGTATTTGTATAGCGGTATAGAAGGCAGTCAATGATTGAGATTTTCTATTTTCCTGTCATTACCACAAAATTAAATTTTAGGCAGATCCATTTACGTGTACCTTTTTTTTGGTATCTCATTCTTTTGTACTACATTCATTATTCAGAACACAACTTATTGATTGTAAATTCTTCAATTTGGTCTAGATTTGTCACGTCGATAGTTCGTGAGCCACTTAAAGGGTTAATGTCTTTTTTTTTTTTTGATGAACTGGATACTTCATTACCAGGGGAAAGATGCCAAAAGGATACATAAAAAGCCTACATGGAGGCCAACAGCCAAATTAAAGCAAAAAAACACCGAGTAATGTAAGGGGTCCATGAATCCTTGACACCGCATCTAATGCTAAAAAACGTCACCCCTCGTACTACCGAAAGAGGACCTAGGGAGGGCAGGGAAGCCCATCGTTACATAGGACATGAACAAGGGAAGATGGAGGTCAATTAACCTAGATGAAATCGCACATTTCCCTGCAACGCTGCGACACTAGGTAGTAAGCCGCCTTATTGGCTGATCTTGGGATCCACGACCAGCAACAGTCTTGGAAAGATTCCCCCTTCCTTTTGCGCTTCACCAAAGCGAGGAAAGCTTCCCAACTGCCCATAGTTAGCGTATTCCTGAGGCAAGAAATTGATTCCGACGAGTCGGACTCAATAATGACTGAACTCCATCCCTGAGGTAAATGTCTTTTCGCCCTCACTCAATCCATCGAACGTCGTGAACAAATTCATGTACACTTCAATCTAACAACCTACCCGAGTGCACCAAAAACACAATTCTACCCTCATAAGTCGAGACATGGGTTCGGCCAGCTTGATGAAATCAGTGAAGAAAGCCATTATTTCGAAATTTCAACGTGCTCTTCGAATGTAGATGGAGGAATTCAGCTGCAGAAAAATTTAGATTGTGCTGATGAGACAGATGAGGAACAAGAGGAGGTTTGTTAGGGCGATATAAGGATCAAACAGTGCCATCACCACAGGGAGGTTCCGATTGCTTGGATGGCGAGGTGAGAGAAATCGGAATCTCCCTGTGATGACAGTAAAGATAAATTAATGAAAAGGGTGGAGATTGAGAGTAACTGTTCGAATGTAAAGAGAACTGTTGGAAGCATTGAAAGATGTCGAAGACTACTTCCGGGCGGTCGTATGATTCTGCTTTGCATGTTTCAGGATGTTAGAGACATGGCTCAGAAGCAATCTGCCTCGCTTGCAATCTGTCGACATGTTCAGCTGGCCTAGATAAGCTGCCATATAAAGCAGTGACGGGCCCTGAGGGATCAACAACGCAAGGAGCGCCAACAAAAGAGGGAGGTCGATAAGCTTGCCAGAAGACTCGGGAGGAGGATTTTGTGCAAGAAACAGACTGAAAGAAACAGATATGGATCGAGAAGAAGAAACTTCATACTAGTACGCAAAAGACGCGTGATATCGCTGTGAATGGATTTCAGATGCGGCTTTCTAAAGTTTTCAGCTCCATGGTTGAGCTTTTCGACTCCATGGCTGAGTTGTTTTCAGAGGCTGCTACGGAAAAGTCTGGTCGTCCAAGCAAAAATGCAAGCAGGACTCGTGAGAAAGCGAACGCCAGATGAACAGTATGCGTGCTAGGTTTGAAGAATGTTACGAACATAGTTTCTCTTTTCTTTTAAAGTACATAATTACGTACTTTCATTCGTATACTAATAATAAGGATTACAAATTTTGCAGAACAAGAATTACGCATACATGCCTTAATCATCTAAGGTACAACAACGGCCAATCTCTACGTGTATCCGACCAGCCTGATTACCTCAGATATCCAACGCGAAGCTTTCTAACTCTTCTGTCCGCCAATACGGTACAAGTATTTATTCCAAAACTTGATAATACGAACATCTTCTGCATCCTTCATCTCTGGAACAGATTGGTGCACCGGACATAAAAGGGAAGCGAATTGGCAGTCCGTTTCTGGATGAATGTATATACACAAGGCAAACTCTGGTCCATTGGCTGTATTATTGCTGACCGGTTGCCCATCAGGGAATTATTGACAGATAAAGGAGTAATTCTATCCATCTAAGAAGAATTTGAGATTCTGAAGTCCCTCGGCAGAAATGCTTCGTCTGAATCTAGGTCTCTCTACCGCCACATGTGGGGGTGGCTCCAAGTGGAAACTCACCATAACAAGCGTCAAATTGTCCGTTGCTCCCCGCTTTATTGCCTCCTCTACTATTTGCTTGCAGCACAACTTCACATCATTGTGCTCTTGCAGTCTCCTTCGAGCGAAATCAACAGCATTTTGGCTGGTGAACACATCCCATATCCCATCAGTGCCAATGATCAAAAACTCATCGTCTTTGCTCAGTGTCGTCAGTTTAAGTTCTGGTATAGCGCTTAAGGGTCCGCCCCTTTCACCCGCGTCCTTCATTCCTTCAAGATGCCAATTACCTAATGCACGGGTTACACCTAACTGACCATTTAGATAACCATCATCAATATATCCACCCAAGGACTCAACACGCATTCTTTCTTTTGTGCAACATGGCCTATGATCCTTTGACATTTCTATAGCCACTCCACATCGTGATAATACAGCCCGGCAATCTCCGGCATTTGCCACAAGCAAAGACCTGTTAAAAATAATAATTTCACGGTGAAACAGGCTAATTGCCACACAACAGTTCTAATAAATAAAAAGCTAAGAGGTCACAAGAACGGGGCATGAGAAGAGGGCATGGATACTATTTTTATTTATATTTTTTCTCATTAAACAGACACAATTCATTTTTCCGCGTAACGCTGAATGAACGGGCCTATGAAGTTTTTTCTCTTATTAACCTGATGGCCAAGACTCGTAGTGAAAGATTATTCAACACACTACTTGTAATTCAACACCGTGATTATAAATAACAACCAACCTACACCACAAGAACGAGTTCCTTACCTCCCAAATATCATTGCAGTGAGTGCAGTTGTGCCAGAAGCAAGGGAAGCCTCACGAGAACACTTCTTTGCAAACGCAGCATCTGTCTCCATAAATGACCTTGTTATCACCTTTTCAAGTTCTAAAGGAAAGTCAGCATCCTCAACAATGACTCTTGGTAAATTGTCACGAACAAAGTGTGCTGCATCCTTTCCTCCGTGACCATCAAACACCTGTTTATTCAAATTTCCATTTACATCATTAAGACTGGTGAAAAAACAGAAGTCTGAACCGTTACGAGCTTTCATTGGGATGGTTTGAATTGTCGTAAACAGAAGAGGGCGAGAAAAACTTACACCATAGAAAGAGATAGCTTCCTCGCTGAGTAGATTATAACCAAACTTCTTAGCTAAGTCACCAATGCATAAATGAGTATCCTCCATATGGGTTCGACCCCCAATATCAGACCACTCTCCTGACCTAAGGGCAGGAACAAAGTTGAACAGGCTCTGCTTTCTGTCTGCAACCACTGTATCCTCATCTATGCTTTCAAGCTAAACGGCAGCCAACATGAAGGAACTCGGATCATCATGTGAAGGAATACAAGTAGAAAGACCAAGGAAACAAAGTTTCGAAATTTATATTCAAGAAAGTAAGGAAAAGTTTCATCCAAGCATCATATGCACAGTTTCAACGAAAAAATGTTTTCCAACCACAAAATTAATGCACAAAAGTTTACATGGCACCTAAACGTCAACGCCAACGGATTCCACCGAAAGGTTGGAATATGATTCATATGAAAAGCTACTAAACCAAAGTCAATACATAACAAGCATCAATTCCCTCCCTATTCCACAATCCAAGAAATCTTTGAAGGGAATAGCCTTAATCATAATCATACGTAACTTTTGTACACGAATCGCCTCACGATCAATGAAAGCGAAACTCAGAAGTGAAATTTACCAAATAGGGTTGGTTTTAATATGGAAAAACAACTTCCATCACAGCTGAAGAGAATAGGATGGCTCAAGGGTTCAAGCAGAAAACCTTCCTGTAGGATGCAGCTGTACAAACTATTTACTACAGAAAAATGATTTGAGCAGTACAGGGATATAAAAATTAACTAAAAGCTAAAGTAAATAATCAAGGGTAAAAGTTATTTCCAATCATCAATCCCATAAGAAAACAAAGACCCAGAATTCAAGTTTAACCATAAGGTCCTAAAACGCTTCAGAACTGAGACAAACTCAACAAAGCCAAGCAGTCAAAGGCCCAGAAGTTTAACCTTGAAATGAATTCAACAGGGTTTTCGAAAGACTGGACTCAATTTGGGTCCTAAAAAGTTTCAAAATTGAGAGAAACCCAATATATTTAAGCAGTCAAAGGACAAGAATTCTTACTTGAAACGAATTGAGCATGTTCTGGGTACTTGAGCTCACCACAGCAGGAGTTTCCCGGTCCAAATTCTCCTCCGTCCGGTCGACTTGCAGAGACCACTGCTCGTTGTCATTGTCGTTGGAATCGATGTTATTGTTATTCTCCATGTTCCCCATTTCTTGACTGAGCTGTTCTGCGTCTATCAGGCACATGCTTCTTCTGATGAAAACGTTAATGGCGGTGCTGCGGAGTTGCTGAGAGAATCGGAAAGTAGTAAGAAACAGAGAGGGAAGAAAAATATAAGATTTGTGGATGACTCCGGTGAGAAGATTCTGAGAGAACGTGAGTGAGTGGGAAATTGGGGCCTCTGGTTATCGTAGTAGTTGTTGTTGTAGTCTCTGAAAGAGAGAGAGAGAGAGAGAGAGAGAGAGAGAGAGAGGAATTCAATTCAGACTTTGTGGGAAAGCGTGGTTGGAAACTAGTTTGATTGGGTTCTTATGATATTATTATTTTTTTTTTTCCCACTTTCAATATTCAAATGTTTTATGTTTATTTTCTTTGACAAATAATCGGATATATACGAAATTCATTTAAACTATGTCGAATTGTCGACGGAGGAAGATTTGAATTCCAAACATAAAATATTCACAAATGACCTCCAAAATCTATCAACATTTGGAGTTAAACGGAATTATTATCCTTTAAAATTAATATTTATAATAATAATACACGTTTTACTCGTTTTACTATACATTGTTAAATAGTATAAGTTATTTTTAATTAGCTCATATACGCTTGTTAAATTAATTTTTTTAAATTCTTCCGTGCACATTTAACTGTTAAAGTTTGTACGTCAAGCATTAATATTTTTTAATATTTTTGTTGAATAAGTATCTTTATTTTATAAGATCACAGAAATTTAGAAAATTTGATCTCATATGAAAGAAGTGTCCTCGAAAAGATATAAAAGCTGCCTTTATTTTGTTTTTAGTTATATCTAAATTGCCATTTGACTAAAATGATTAAATGAATGCCACAACTAAACAAAAAAAAAAAGGTTCCATTTAAAAATGCCTTAACCACTAACTACTTAATAATTTGGTCTTTACCACCATTAGCCAAATTATCAGTCTTAATCGTCCCTTTTTTACAAGATATTATCAGATGCGTTGGGCATATGTGGGAATATACTATTTTGAGTGCAATGACCAAATTCATTTTAGAAAAAAGTAAATATGATTGAAACTTTTCTCACTCATTCATTGTTGATTACCGTTACATTAGTTTGGTTTAATAGACTTAAGGTACAAATTTTGAAATTTAAACTAATCTAACGACAATCAATGAAAAATAAGCATCACCTTCATTTTAAAAGACGAGCGAAAATGCACTCAATAAATATAAAAAATTTCACAAAAAATTATGTTATATCATGCATTGTTGTGGGATTCATTAACTGAACTTGTTATTTACAAAAATCATAACTAAGACCAGTCACTTACAAATATAAAAAACACTACTAAACTTAGTACGGAGCGACTAAACTAAAAAAGAGGTCAAAATAGAAGAATGTTTGGCTAAAAATAGAAGAAAAAATCTACAAGGATGGGATTTGGGATAATCTTCCAAGATACAAGCAACTACATATGCTGGGTTTTGTTTCATTGCATGACTTTCCGTAACACATAAGACAAGATTAGTCGGTTTGATTAAGTTAACACATAATACTTAACCCAAAATTATTTTATTTTTTCACTAATTTTTTCTTTGCTTGTTCATCAAGTATCGGAATTTGATGGGTGGAATTCTACTATCCCCACGACCTTCTAATCCATAAGATTCGTCCAAAGCCTCATAAGTTGAAAGACAAGTCACAGGAGGAAGTGTGTCTAATTTAATTTGGCAATAATTGCCCCCAAAAAAGTTTGAAAGTGAAACTAAAGGACACATTCATTGAGAAAATGATAATGCAAGACAAGGACATTGGATTCTTGAATGTAATCGAGATATATAGGTTTTCTCTATGTTCCTCGTCATGAGAGTAAACAGAAAGAAAAAAGTAATCTCATTTATATTTAAAACAATAGAAGGATAGTTAGAAATTTACTTACATTGAGAACTACGTAGTTGGGATATTTACAAGTTCTTACAAGATGATGTGTTTTAACCTTTTCACATAAACAGTAAATAATTGACTTGAGATAATGCAACAGTGTCAGCTTAGAAGTCTTTCATGCTTTTTCTTTTGCCTCTACGAAGGGTTGCTTGCTTCAAAACCATCCACTACCCTACAAGTTGTCCACCAACACCTTATTTTTGGACATTTACCCAATTCACGTGGACGTGGTTCAAAAGCACTTTCAGGCTTTCTCCTTTTATGTGGGACAAAAAATTGAAAGTAAGGAAAAGGAGAAAGGAGGAGCCATTTCTTCCTCTTTGCTGGAATATTTAATTGTTAATAGTGGGTAATTAGCTTATTAAACACAGAAGGAATCTTCCTAGTCCGCTGCTTACTTAACTTCCAACACAAGGGAGGGAGACTAATACGCGGTCGGTAGGAGCCTGACGTGGCATAATATTCCCCACCTTACGATTTCATACGAGAAACTTAAAATACGTAGGGATTGTCGTATTATGCCGACTAGACAATAGATATGCGATGGATAGAAATTTCAAACACTCATTTTCACATGTGCACTCAACGTTTGTTTTTAATCAACAATGAGTATACAAGGCAAAACAATCATTCAGAGTCTTGACTTCCTTGATGTTTACTAACACAAAAATAAATAAATAAATAAAAATATCGATCTCACCTTCAAACAAAGAATGAGATAAACTACGGTTTAGTTTATTACTTCTCCTATTCCGAAGTACTTTCATTCATCGATTCTTTACTTGATTCCTAATAACCAAATCCGTTACGAAGTGAATAAATCAAAGGACAATAACAATGATAAAAGTGTAAAAGAAGAAAACGTGTGAAAATCAACCTTGTGTGAATGCAATCCCATTCTGATAGTTTTTTTTTCTTTTTTTTTTTCTTTGGAAAAATATGATTCCGATGGTTTGGTTAGCTATCCAAATCTGGTTTTATATTTTCAGTACAAAATCTGGGTTGACTTTAAATTACGAGAGAATTGTGTATCGGCCCAAATGAGCGCTGCCCATATTACTCTGAATTTGGGCCGCTACTAAACACATCCACTTTGTTACGTACCCACCGCACCCTACTAGACTATATAATTTATAAGGGAGTCAGCCTGGTGGTGGTACTGGCCGGCCGGCCGTCCGTCTGCGGCGGTGACACACAAGGAACTATTCATTTCAGCTCACAGCACACGCACTATAATTGAAACAAAATGGAAAGTAATCCTATTCTCAGAACCATGAAGATCATGAAAACAACAAAACTTAACCAGTACACCGAAAACTGGAGTAAAAAAACAGGGGTAAGTCACTAATCTCCTCAATTCTCTAACATAATCATCTTGAGCAAAACCCAAAATGCCTACAGCGCCGGCCTATAACGCAACTCGAAGTTCCTAAAAGAAAAAAAATTCAAATTCCAGCAAAAGCCTTCTTGCCAGTGCCGGAAGATCCGGTAGGTGTCACCTTCAAGACGTTGAACCTCTTAGTCTTGGACAATGGCCTGAACATTGGTGAAGTACAAAAAGAAAATCGACAATGAGCACAAGCGGCCAGACTATATTCATAAAATGAAACTAAAAAGGAGCTTCTAAGGTAAATCACCTGCACTGGCCGATGGTAACGTGATCTCCTTCCTTCACACGGAAGCATGGAGATGCGTGGGCGGGTATGTTGGAATGTCGTTTCTCATATCTTAAGCAAGCAACAAGAAAACAAAATTTCAGAACGACGGCATAGAGGATGGTACTTTTTAATTTTCCAAAATGACAACAGATATTGAAGGAAAAGAAAAAAAGAATGCAAACATCATACCTTTGATACTTTTTGATATAATGTAGATAATTTCTTCGAACAATGATTGTTTTATTCATCTTAGCACTATGGCAAGTTCCAGCTAAGATACGGCCCCTGATTGAAACATTTCCAGTGAACGGGCATTTCTTATCAATGTAAGTCCCTGTAAGAAACAAAAAAAATGAGATGTTGCAACCGTATCAGCAAAATACAACACTCCAATTGGTCAATGCTGACACAAAAAATAAACAGGAAAGCTACTAAAGCTCAATTTGGAGTGAAACTATGACCCGAACTTTGGAAATCCCAAAAAATAAGCATTTCCAGTGATTGATTCAAAACTCAAAGTTATTTCACGTAATAACACTCGCGCATATAGTCTCTAATCTGCTTAATTCTTCTAATTGAAAGGTAATAGTATACGCTAATGAACGACATAGTGACATACCATAAGGACTTTAACAATGCAAATCACTATAAGAATGATAATGCAACATTACTCAAATACCACTTTTTAATCAATCAGCCTACAAAATTACAACTAAACAATCATATACCAAAACGCTTCGAATTCATTTCATGGCATAACTTAAGCTACTATACATAAACGATACATAAGTAAAGATAGAGAGGGACCTTCAATGGCATCCCTGGGGGTCTTGAAACCGAGCCCAACGCTCTTCCAGAACCGGTTACCGCCCTTTCCGGGTCTCTTCCCCTTCCCAGATTTCTTAGAGCTGATTAATAAATTCGATTACAGCAAAACATAAATAAATAAAAATTATAAAATAGGACCCAAATGTGAATGCATAATTAAGCAAAACAAAATTAGAACAACCAAATCTTAATCCCAACAAAAAAAATGAAATTTATTTGATTAACCAAACCAGTTACCTGATGAACACTTTGGGCTGCTTCAGAAACGCCTTCTCAGTCTGCAACCAAAAATGTCAAAAAAATCAAACAAAACGACTGCTATAAACATCGACACGGCGCCATTTTGGATACAATAACAACTAGCAGGGATAGAAGAAAAGAACCGACCTGTTCCGCCATGATCGAAAGCTCGAGAGGAGTCCAGGTGATAGCGGAGGAGGCGATTCAACGTTCCACAAAACCCTAGCCCTCTCGTTTGCGCGCCGCCCCGCGCTGTATTAACATAATTTATAAAGGCGCGATTTGGGTACGTTTAGGCCGGGTGTTTTGGGCCGACTCCAACTCTGCGAGCCTTCGTTTTCGTTTCAGTTTTATCTAGGTTTTTCCAATTACGAGCATATTACTACTCTAAAGCTACATAAAGGCAAAGGTTTGAACTTGAGACGTAGTGTTTGAAGAGGAATATTCACTACCGCAATTCACTGCTTGCGGGAGAATTCCTAACCAAAGTATATATCCGCCTTCTAAGGATCAAATAATCCATGGAAAACTAGGTGCTAATTAGCAAAGACGAAATTCGGTTTCCTGATATTTAAGTTATGTAACACTATGATATTATATCCGCTAAAAAATGTCTCGATAGTATCTCCACAAATCGAAAGAAATTTTACACCATCTCGCATGAAGTGAAAAACAAGAAGCAATCTGTGTTGAAAAAAAAAAATGGCATACTTAACGATTGTGCTAAAAAACTTTTGTACACGAATCACCTCACGATCAATGAAAGCGAAACTCAGAAGTGAAATTTACCAAATAGGGTTGGTTTTAATATGGAAAAACAACTTCCATCACAGCTGAAGAGAATAGGATGGCTCAAGGGTTCAAGCAGAAAACCTTCCTGTAGGATGCAGCTGTACAAACTAATTACTACAGAAAAATGATTTGAGCAGTACAGGGATATAAAAATTAACTAAAAGCTAAAGTAAATAATCAAGGGTAAAAGTTATTTCCAATCATCAATCCCATAAGAAAACAAAGACCCAGAATTCAAGTTTAACCATAAGGTCCTAAAACGCTTCAGAACTGAGACAAACTCAACAAAGCCAAGCAGTCAAAGGCCCAGAAGTTTAACTTTGAAATGAATTCAACAGGGTTTTCGAAAGACTGGACTCAATTTGGGTCCTAAAAAGTTTCAAAATTGAGAGAAACCCAATATATTTAAGCAGTCAAAGGACAAGAATTCTTACTTGAAACGAATTGAGCATGTTCTGGGTACTTGATCTCACCACAGCAGGAGTTTCCCGGTCCAAATTCTCCTCCGTCCGGTCGACTTGCAGAGACCACTGCTCGTTGTCATTGTCGTTGGAATCGATGTTATTGTTGTTCTCCATGTTCCCCATTTCTTGACCGAGCTGTTCTGCGTCTATCAGGCACATGCTTCTTCTGATGAAAACGTTAATGGCGGTGCTGCGGAGTTGCTGAGAGAATCGGAAAGTAGTAAGAAACAGAGAGGGAAGAAAAATATAAGATTTGTGGATGACTCCGGTGACAAGATTCTGAGAGAACGTGAGTGAGTGGGAAATTGGGGCCTCTGGTTATCGTAGTAGTTGTTTTAGTCTCTGAAAGAGAGAGAGAGAGAGAGAGAGAGAGAGAGAGAGAGAGGAATTCAATTCAAGACTTTTGTGGGAAAGCGTGGTTGGAAACTAGTTTGATTGGGTTCTTATGATATTATTATTATTTTTTTTTCCCACTTTCAATATTCAAATGTTTTATGTTTATTTTCTTTGACAAATAATCGGATATATACGAAATTCATTTAAACTATGTCGAATTGTCGAGGGAGGAAGATTTGAATTCCAAACATAAAATATTCACAAATGACCTCCAAAATCTATCAACATTTGGAGTTAAACGGAATTATCATCCTTTAAAATTAATATTTACAATAATAATACACGTTTTGCTCGTTTTACTATACATTGTCAAATAGTATAAGTTATTTTTAATTAGCTCATATACGCTTGTTAAATTAATTTTTTTTAAATTCTTCCGTGCACATTTAACTGTTAAAGTTTGTATGTCAAGCATTAATATTTTTTAATATTTTTGTTCAATAAGTATCTTTATTTTATAAGATCACAGAAATTTAGAAAATTTGATCTCATATGAAAGAAGTGTCCTCGAAAAGATATAAAAGCTGCCTTTATTTTGTTTTTAGTTATATCTAAATTGCCATTTGACTAAAATGATTAAATGAATGCCACAACTAAACAAAAAAAAAAAGTTCCATTTGAAAATGCCTTAACCACTAACTACTTAATAATTTGGTCTTTACCACCATTAGCCAAATTATCAGTCTTAATCGTCCCTTTTTTACAAGATATTATCAGATGCGTTGGGCATATGTGGGAATATACTATTTTGAGTGCAATGATCAAATTCATTTTAGAAAAAAGTAAATATGATTGAAACTTTTCTCACTCATTCATTGTTGATTACCGTTAGATTAGTTTGGTTTAATAGACTTAAGGTACAAATTTTGAAATTTAAACTAATTTAACGACAATTAATGAAAAATAAGCATCACCTTCATTTTAAAAGACGAGCGAAAATGCACTCAATAAATATAAAAAATTTCACAAAGAATTATGTTATATCATGCATTGTTGTGGGATTCATTAACTGAACTTGTTATTTACGAAAATCATAACTAAGACCGGTCACTTACAAATATAAAAAACACTACTAAACTTAGTACGGAGCGACTAAACTAAAAAAGAGGTCAAAATAGAAGAATGTTTGGCTAAAAATAGAAGAAAAAATCTACAAGGATGGGATTTGGGATAATCTTCGAAGATACAAGCAACTACATATGCTGGGTTTTGTTTCATTGCATGACTTTCCGTAACACATAAGACAAGATTAGTCGGTTTGATTAAGTTAACACATAATACTTAACCCAAAATTATTTTATTTTTTCACTAATTTTTTCTTTGCTTGTTCATCAAGCCTCGGAATTTGATGGGTGGAATTCTACTATCCCCACGACCTTCAAATCCATAAGATTCGTCCAAAGCCTCATAATTTGAAAGACAAGTCACATGAGGAAGTTTGTCTAATTTAATTTGACAATAATTGCCCCCAAAAAGTTTGAAAGTGAAACTAAAGGACACATTCATTGAGAAATTGATAATGCAAGACAAGGACATTGGATTCTTGAATGTAATCGAGATATATAGGTTTTCTCTGTGTTATTCGTCACGAGAGTAGACAGAAAGAAAAAGTAATATCATTTATATTTAAAACAATAGAAGGATAGTTAGAAATTTACTTACATTGAGAACTACGCAGTTGGGATATTTACAAATTCTTACAAGATAATATGTTTTAACCTTTTCACATGAACAGTAAATAATTGATTTGAGATAATGCAACAGTGTCAGCTTAGAAGTCTTTCATGCTTTTTCTTTTGCCCCTACGAAGGGTTGCTTGCTTCAATACCATCCACTACTCAACAACTTGTCCACCAACACCATATTTTTGGACATTTACCCAATTCCCGTGGACGTGGTTCAAAAGCACTTTCAGGCTTTCTCCTTTTATGCGGGACAAAAAATTGAAAGTAAGGAAAAGGAGAAAGGAGGAGCCATTTCTTCCTCTTTTCTGGAATATTTAATTGTTAATAGTGGGTAATTAGCTTATTAAACACAGAAGGAATCTTCCTAGTCCGCTGCTTACTTAACTTCCAACACAAGGGAGGGAGACTCATATGCGGTCGGCAGGAGCCTGACGTGGCATAATATTCCCCATCTTACGATTTCATACGAGAAACTTAAAATACGTAGGGATTGTCGTATTATGCCAACTAGGCAATAGATATGCGATGGATAGAAATTTCAAACACTCATTTTCCCACGTGCACTCAACGTTTGTTTTTAATCTTTGATAATGTATTTCCTTATCAACAATGAGTATACGAGGCAAAAATAAATATCGATCTCACAATGAGTTATCAACAATGAGTTTACTAACACAAAAATAAATAAATAAATAAAAATATCGATCTCACCTTCAAACAAAGAATGAGATAAACTACGGTTTAGTTTATTACTTCTCCTATTCTGAAGTACTTTCATTCCTCGATTCCTTACTTGATTCCTAATACTAAATCCGTTACGAATTGAATAAATCAAAGGACAATAACAATGATAAAAGTGTAAAAGAAGAAAACGTGTGAAAATCAACCTTGCGTGAATGCAATCCCATTCTGATAGTTCTTTTTTTTTTTTTTCTTTCTTCTTTGGAAGAAATTGATTCTGATGGTTTGGTTAGCTATCCAAATCTGGTTTTATTTTTTCAGTACCAAATCTGGGTTGACTTTAAATTTGGAGAGAATTGTATCGGCCCAAATGAGTGCTGCCCATATTACTCTGAATTTGGGCCGCTACTAAACACTTCCACATTGTTACGTACCCACCGCACCCTACTAGACTATATAAAGCAGTCAGCCTGGTGGTGGTACTGGCCAGCCGGCCGTCCGTCTGCGGCGGTGACACACAAGGAACTATTCATTTCAGTTCACAGCACACGCACTATAATTGAAACAAAATGGAAAGTAATCCTATTTTCAGTACCATGAAGATCATGAAAACAACAAAACTTAACCAGTACACCGAAAACGGGGGTAAAAAAACAGGGGTAAGTCACTAATCTCCTCAATTCTCTAACATAATCATGTTGAGCAAAAAACCCAAAATGCCTACAGTGCCGGCCTATAACGCAACTCGAAGTTCCTAAAAACAAAAAAAATTCAAATTCCAGCAAAAGCCTTCTTGCCAATGCCGGAAGATCCGGCAGGTGTCACCTTCAAGACGTTGAACCTCTTAGTCTTGGACAATGGCCTGAACATTGGTGAAGTACAAAAAGAAAACCGACAATGAGCACAAGTGGCCAGACTATATTCATAAAATGAAACTAAAAAGGAGCTTCTAAGGTAAATCACCTGCACTGGCCGATGGTAACGTGATCTCCTTCCTTCACACGGAAGCATGGAGATACGTGGGCGGGTATGTTGGAATGTCGTTTCTCATATCTTAAGCAAGCGACAAGAAAACAAAATTTCAGAGCGACGGCATAGAGGATGGTACTTTTTAATTTTCCAAAATGACAACAGATATTGAAGGAAAAGAAAAAAAGAATGCAAACATCACACCTTTGATACTTTTTGATATAATGTAGATAATTTCTTCGAACAATGATTGTTTTATTCATCTTAGCACTATGGCAAGTTCCAGCTAAGATACGGCCCCTGATTGAAACATTTCCAGTGAACGGGCATTTCTTATCAATGTAAGTCCCTGTAAGAAACAAAAAAAATGAGATGTTGCAACCGTATCAGCAAAATACAACACTCCAATTGCTCAATGCTGACACAAAAAATAAACAGGAAAACTACTAAAGCTCAATTTGGAGTGAAACTATGACCCGAACTTTGGAAATCCCAAAAAATAAGCATTTCAAGTGATTGATTCAAAATTCAAAGTTATTTCACGTAATAACACTCGCGCATATAGTCTCTAATCTGCTTAATTCTTCTAACTGAAAGGTAGTTGTATACGCTAATGAACGACACAGTGACATACCATAAAGACTTTAACAATGCAAATCACTATAAGCATGATAATGCAACATTACTCAAATACCACTTTTTAATCAATCAGCCTACAAAATTACAACTAAACAATCATATACCAAAACGCTTCGAATTCATTTCATGGCATAACTTAAGCTACTATACATAAAAGATACATAAGTAAAGATAGAGAGGGACCTTCAATGGCATCCCTGGGGGTCTTGAAACCGAGCCCAACGCTCTTCCAGAACCGGTTACCGCCCTTTCCGGGTCTCTTCCCCTTCCCAGATTTCTTAGAGCTGATTAATAAATTTGATTACAGCAAAACATAAATAAATAAAAATTATAAAATAGGACCCAAATGTGAATGCATAATTAAGCAAAACAAAATTAGAACAACCAAATCTTAATCCCAACAAAAAAAATGAAATTTATTTGATTAACCAAACCAGATACCTGATGAACACTTTGGGCTGCTTTAGAAACGCCTTCTCAGTCTGCAACCAAAAATGTCAAAAAAATCAAATAAAACGACTGCTATAAACATCGAAACGGCGCCATTTTGGATACAATAACAACTAGCAGGGATAGAAGAAAAGAACCGACCTGTTCCGCCATGATTGAAAGCTCGAGAGGAGTCCAGGTGATAGCGGAGGAGGCGATTCAACGTTCCACAAAACCCTAGCCCTCTCGTTTGCGCGCCGCCCGCGTGCTGTATGAACAGAACTTATAAAGGCGCGATTTGGGTACGTTTAGGCCGGGTGTTTTGGGCCGATATATTTTGGGCCGACTCCAACTCTGCTAGCCTTCGTTTTCGTTTCGGTTTTATCTAGGTTTTTTAAATTACGAGCAAATTACTACTCTAAGCTACATGAAGGCAAAGGTTTGAACTTGAGACGTACTGTTTGAAGAGGAATATTCACTACGGCAATTCACTACTTGCGGGAGAATTCCTAACCAAAGTATATATCCGCCTTCTGAGGATCAAATAATCCATGGAAAACTAGGTGCTAATTAGCAAAGACGAAATTCGGTTTCCTGATATTTAAGTTATGTAACATTATGATATTATATCCGCTAAAAAATGTCTCCATAGTATCTCCACAAATCGAACGAAATTTTACACCATCTCGCAAGAAGTGAAAAACAAGAAGCAATCTGTGTTGGAAAAAAAAAATGGCATACTTAACGATTGTGCTAAAAAACTCGATAACTTTTTCACGACAATGAGTACCGTTGCTTGAACCATCGGATCATGACTACTCCTTCTGCATCGAAGAAAAGCCATACTACTTGTAAACATCACAAAAATCAAAGAACATAGAAGTACGAGAATGAAAATAAAACTGATTTAGATTTTCATCTACATCGTCGTCACCTTTTGGCGTTTTGAAGTAGGAAGATTTGGTTCAGATTCTTCAGAATCACTCCGCTGACGGGATGACCCAACATCGGAGGTCTCAGCCTGCAAAACACATAATCGTCTTATGTTCATGCATTATCACTTTTTAAATTTATCATTAACATTTTGTTTCAGCCTAACATCAAGATTTTCTACAACTTAATGTGCAGGTATGCTTTGTTTGGCCATTCACGAGAAAAAGGGCACTGAATGTTGGCGTAAAATGCCATGAAAATGATAACTGGTGTAGAATACGTACCCTGGTGGGAGAATCTTGGGACATTCTGTGCTCAGAAGAATTTCCTGGCTCTCCCCCTGTGGCTTGAGATATGAATGGCATGATTTCATGAAGCAAATTAGACAAAAATATTCCTTCATCGGTGGCCCTTGGTTCTGCTTCCGGTGCAGCCACACCACCACTAGATGGCCTTGGCTGATCTGGTACAGAACCTGCAGTCGCTCCCTCGGCACTGCCGTCTTCTACATGAATTTCACCACTCGGAAAGAGGGTCCTTATAAACTGTAATATACTACCTGGGACCTGTCTCTCAGATTCTTGGCTGTTTGGGGTTCCGCCAGCTGATAAAATATTGATACTGACACTTCGTGCGATTGATGGTCGTCTTACATTGGGAGCTGATCCTGCAGGAAAAAGCCACCGATGAATACACTCAACCAATTATAGCATCTTAACCACAAGGGTTAACTAATTAGAAGAGATGAACAACTCAAATCAAGTCCTTTGATGAGCTACTGCCTCAATCAATTCTTGTGCGTAAGACCTTGGACGAGCTATGTGTTATTTTTGTTGAACCAACCTTTTTCTTGCTACTTCACAAATAACATAGTATAACAAATTAAGAGCCATGCAGTATCTAAAATATAAAGAACAAAATATCTGAGAAAATTCTGGCACCGCCATATTCACTGACGGAGCTAGAAAACAAATTGTCCTCTCCTGGCACAGCCAGAGAGTATATTACCATCTCTTGCAGGATCTGCAGCATTTTGCCGTTCTGCTGCAGATTCAGAAGACTGAGGATCAGTATGAGATTGGCAGGGTGACGATCTCTGGATGCTGGAGTTCCTTGTTCACTATTCACATTCCCAGAAGCTACATGTTGAAACCTTCCAAGCAGTGGATAGTATAACCCTCCCGAAATACCAGAAGAATCTGATGGTTGGCGACTGAGGGAAGCAGGGACTGCTGAAACCATGGTCCTGATTGGCATTATCCTTACAGCCGGATCTCCAGCAAAAGCTGAACCACCTGAGACCCTTGAAGTGGCTTGATTAGTAGGATTTTCACTGCCAGAACTTGTTACTGGGTTTCTTTGCCCTGAAGGCTGCTGAGTCTCCCCTTGTTCATCTCGAGTGGCATCGGGTGTGGTTGCCGACGAACCTTATGGATACAATGAATCATTCTTAAAGTTAACTTCTACTTAAGCATTAAACAAATGTAAACCAAACATGGACGGAAATAGCCTGGGAATAAATAATAAAAGGCACCTCTTCGTATTTGTATATCAATACGCCTTGGATGAAAACCAGTACCAAGTCCACTAACAAGACCAGAACCAGGCTGCACGGCTCCCATGGGGATGGCACCAAAGTTCGTTCCAGATTGGAAAGGAAGAGGCTGGCCAAATATGATTCAGTTTCAGTCAGTATAAATTAAACTATTTTCAACGAGGTGTTAATTAAACGTTTAGAAAATTACCTGAACCATAATGGGATTAGGGCCAGTAGGGGATATGAAAACTGCAGGTCCAGCACTAACCACCGCGTCAGACTGCATAAGATGACCCAGAGAAAAGTTTAGAAGTCAGCTGATATCTAAATGGACAAAATGACATGACAAGGAAAGTGCAATTCCAGGAAACACTACCGGTGCTTGACCCATTTGCAATGTCATGGTTGTACGACCAAGTTCAAGTAAAAAGGCACCTAGGTTATGAAATAAAGCTCCAGTTCTCGATGCACTAGCTTGGGCACTCAACCGTGCTGCAGAATCAGTCACATTCACTTGATTCTCCAGTTGACTTGCAAATTGCTGCCAAGATGTAACATGAAAATCGCAATGTCTTTTTGTTTAACATGATAAATCAAACAGCTGAAAGCTAGTAGCTAATATAGAATCTCAGTAACTAGATTCTTCTGCTTTAAACAATAAAACTGCTCATTTGTGACAACTAATGAAAAATCAAGCTTCCAACCACAAGTCGTCAACTTGGAACACAAATATATGTACTTGCAATAATATAGCGAAAAATTACAATGACACATAAGAACGCACAAGTAAGGATTCTCCAACTTGTTCAGCGAGTAATTGTCGAGTAGAACGCATGATTTCTGCCAACGATGCAGGAGTGGAGAGCCCCTCTTGCCTTATCCCTGAACGTGATGAGGAATTGGAGCTTTCTTCAGTCCTATGAGAAGCAGTTGCTTGATTGCTTCCCGCATCTCTGTCTGTTGTTAAATGAGTTGACACTTAAACTATTTCAGCAAACTAGCACCATTTGTGTAACAACTTTATGTTAATAAAAATTCTTGCCCATAGAAAACTCACCAATAGCCTCAAATTCACGCCTCATATGACTCAGATATTGGGTTAAAGTGGTCAAAGAACCAGGAATTACCTGCAAAGATCACCGATAAAGCAGAATATTTATACTATTGCTTTCAAAGAGATTCATTAAGTTAAAGATCAAAATATGCAAGAAGAATAAAACTTAATGAAACAAATTGGAAACTTTTAACTTGCCAGAGGTGGCAGGGCCCCCAAAGGAAATGATGTTGAATGGCTAAAAGTCCCATTTGATCTATCAGATGGACCCCTTGTGGCAGTTTGTTCAGATTGAAATTGGGAGAAATCAAACATACCACCGAAACCCGATGTCCTTTCTGGCCTCTGCGGCCCATGTTCCTTCAGCATATCAACCATCCCCATAACAGAGTAAGAATGTAAGCATAAAAGTACACATAAATTTATAATAACAAATGATATACATATGCACACACAGAGTATCCATTAAGTGATATTAGCTTCAGAAATTTTCAATTTTAAATTTACCCTGACTTCGATCCCTTCACTGGCACCTGCAATATTTGGCATTCCTATAGAGCCGAGAACAGCAGAGATTATCTACTCAGACACAGAGACAAGGAGGAAATCATTACCATGAATTTTTTTTTTTTCAGTTATCATGAAATTTATTTACACCATGTAGAAATACAAATTATTTTGTTAGAGACACACCCGATTGATTTCAGGTGCAAATCCATCCCCTTGAGCAGGCATGCTGAAAGTTTCAATGACAACACCAGGGCCAGCATGACGGCTTGAACTTGAAGCTGGATCAGTTCCTACACACAGTTGGTAGAATGAAAACAATGTCAATGATGTTAATAGTTGAATCAAATATCTAGAAGAGAAATAAGGTTTTCCATTAATGTTGGACTACCAATTTTTTGAAACAGCCCATGAACCCAAACTATCAGGTAGTTTGCAAACAATGTGTCCATATCTAAAACATGTTAACACACAACACATAGAATTGTAGAGTACTAATAGTATTAAGATCAACCTGGATGATCTGGTAACCCTTCAGCTGATAGTGGAATAGGCTGTCTCACAACCAAGTGTAAGGTGTGACCATCTTCAACATCTAAACTGTGTTAAGGAAATATCAAATGTGTACATGAAAAGCCGGTGAGTGAATGGAATTGAGCCTATGAAGCCTACATTTTGGGAAACACACACCCACAGAGAATCCTAAGTAATGTAGAGGTGCCACAAGGTTTAAAACTCAAAAATTCTTCCACAAAACAAAAAGAATAGGATACGATAGGCAGAGAGAAGCTGATCATCCTTTAGAACTTTTCCTCGGCATATCAGTCGTTGTTGTTCTGATAGCACACCAGTGACAGAAGCAACTTGTTCTTTCAAAGCAGGAACTGGCATCTGCAGTTCAGAAAACACAATTTAGTATGGGTACTTGGGCAGTGCTATCCACACACTCCTTTTTACCTTCCACACACTCCATGTTAATTTCTATCCTTTCATCCTCTTCAATTCATTCGATCTGACAGCAGAAAATTGAAAGGGATGTGTGAAAGGTCAAAAGGGTTGTGTGGATAGCACCACCCTTAGTAAATTCAAACCTGTTTGGAAAACTTTTACAAAAAAATGTTACCGGCATATTCCACGGGCAATATTCCTTCACAAATAAGCTTCAATAATTATTTTAAAAACTAGGATGAACTGTCAATTAGTCCCTGAATTATCATCTCAGTGAAAATTAGGTCCCAAAACTATTTTTTCAGAGAAATCAATCCTTAAATTATAAAAATTTGCCAATTACATCCCTAATATTATATTCGAAGCTACTATATTCAATTTTCCGTCAATTTAAGTCACGTTAGTAGCATGTGATACACATTGAAGGGTGGATTGATAGTTTTTCATAAAGAAATAATGTATGGATTTAACTTTGGAGGGTAATTGGAAGTTTTTCATAAGAAATAGTGTAAGTTAACTTTGGAGGGTAAATTAGAAGTTAGATTCGCAACCTATATGAAATGTTAAGGGCTTATAGGCGAGACAATGATGGTATTCCACTCTAAAGTGTGTCCAATGACTTAAGTTGACGAAAAATTGAATAAAATAGCTTTGAATATAATAGCAGGGATGAAATTAGCAATTTTTAATGAATTTAGGGACTTATTTTACCTAAAAAATAATTCAGGGACCTAATTTTCACTAAGATGATAGTTCAAGGACTAAATCGGCACTTCACCCTAAAAACTATGTCAAATGCACAAGTAACTTTTCGAACATTTCGAGTTTTCACACATATTAGCACTTTTAACTCGAGGAAATTATCTCAAGCTGTTGGGAACATATTATATGGGTACACTATATTCACATGGGGTACAGTGGTAAAGATTGTACACAAGGATGTAAGTGTTGCCCAAAAGCAGGAGATATAATAAAAGATCACTAAAGAAGCAACCTGTTTATCCACCCTGAGAGTATAGGTTTGTGAATCCAATGTTTTTATTTTAATCTCAATAGTGGCTTCAGACCCTTCGACCTGCTCACCGATGAGAATATGTTCACTACCATTACTTCCCATTCTCCTCAGACCGCAATGAACCTAGAAAAGAGCAAGAGTATAAATCATAAAACAGCCCTCTTTCTCCTTATTATAGGTTGGGGTGGAGAAAATGGAGCATTCAATCAACTACTACTTAATAATATAATGGCATTGATAATCGACAATGAAAAAAAAAATGAGAAAAAGGAAAAACCATTAATGTTATAAGGCATGCCCATCTCTAATTAACGGTAATGCATAATTGTAGTAAAAACATGGGTAGCAATTCTTGGTTAATTCCCAAACCACAACATGTATTTCCAACGAAAAATTCATATATACAATGTGTTTGATTTTCCATAACCTAAGCCAACTTCAACACGTGATTTTGTACAAATACAAACTCCTTGTCACTATTCTGAGTTAACAACATTGCACTCAATAGTCTGCACACATGCAAGGCAAAGCATAAAAGTTAGTATTCATTACAGTTAAATGCCGAATCGCATCACTACAATTTATGACCAAAATCTACTCATCTGCTCCACAAGCAAACATTGCAACGGAACTACAAGGAAAGTAACAGCACTCGTATCACAATTTCCTGTTCTCTTTTTTACTTTTCAATGGCACATTCCATGACCCCTTTGACTTTGATCCACTCTCACCAGCTATCACACATAAACTTCGTTCGAACTTTTTAATGCCGAAACAAGATTTGGTTTTGTTTGATTCAAACAACTTTGAATGAACAACTTTGGTTTTGTTTAATCGCATGCAATCTCTCAAAACCTGAGTAAAGTGAACACCCTTTACTGATACACACGAACAGATGATTACAAAACACATCCTAAACAAACAATAACCTAAATACCAACAATCCTAGGATTTCTGGAATCAAGAACAACCAAAACAAAAAACCTTAGAATTTCAAAATCTAAAAAAATCCAGAAGGGCAATACATTGAAACACAAAAAACCCAATTGAATCACCAAATTAACATCGAAAAAAAAAAAAACGAAAAACACAATACACAGAACATGATCATAGTTCTTACCTAAAATATAGAAACTCCGATAAGCTTCCAGAAGATGGGGAAGCGTGACAAAAGCCCTAGAGCCGTGGACAACTGTGTACAAAAGCCCTCGGAGACACAGAGGTTTATACGCAGGTGGTCTCTGCCACTGAGATTTTTGTGGGTCGTCGTCCGCTCTGTCACTGTGTGGCAAATGATGGAGGAGGAGGGCAGGGCAGGATGGAAATACTGGTGTGCTAACTTTTGCCTAAATTGGTGGGGGCAAAATCGACCGGTAAATATCATTTTTACCTCTGCATTTTCACTGTCGGGATTGGGGTTTTTATCACTGTTTAGAAAATAAAATAGAGCACGTGCCGTTACGTCACGGATGATGAAGTTTTTTAAATCAAAACTAATCAAGTTCATACTATAAACTCATCTTGGTCAATCTATAAGTCGCCATATTTGCTATTCGTCAAATGTGGAGAATACAAACTCGCGATATTGTAATTGGATCCAAACTCAAAAGCTTAGGACGGGTTTTTGTGTTGTCTATTCTTTTGTTCTTTTTTCTTGAGCAATGGAAAAACCTTATTCAAATACATATATTGACGTTTTGAGAAGTTGAAAAAAGTTATCAAATAAGTAACACGCACTACTCAAATAAAATTATTTACAATAATGTTAAGGATCACATTATTGTACCTCACGATGTGGCAAATGGTGCATATAATCAATATCAAATGAGATAAATCTATTAATTGATATGACATATATACATCACTTATCGCATCACGTAGTACATAAAGATGATATAAAAATGTAGTAAGAAAAGATTAATAAGAAAATAATCCAAATTAGTAAGGAAACGAATAAAATTGAATAGCTAGTCAGATTTTCTATTCATTTTTATTTTCCTACTATACAAATAGATACTGTGTTAAATGAGCTATACATCGAATACAGTTTGTCATCATGTAGTAATATATTATTATTTACAGTATTCATACGCACTAATAGTATGTTTGACATAGCAAATGATGAGTACAATGGATGAAGTAGGTGAAATACTTCTCCGTTAGATTGTCAAATTAGTCTAAGTGGTGATGAGTGCTTATGTAGTAGATTAAAACCATACTAGTTTCAAAGTTCGATTCTTTTTCAAATATGGATGTGCTCAAATATACCAACATTTGTTACCAAACCTAGGAGAATACCAACCCTTGTTACCAAACTTAGGAGAATTCAATAATCCAATCGGATTTAGGATTTCCTCTCTTTTTGGCTCATTCAAAATTTCAAATCATCATACAATTGGAATAAATTTGTAATATAATCGGATTTTGAAAAGAGAGATGATTTTCACATCTCTTTTTATTTTAGCTAAACAATAAATACATATATCATTTATCTTCATACATAAAAGATGCGTTTCCAATTTTTTAAAATTTTGCAATTGGATTTAAGATCTCCTGTACTTTCCAATACAGACTAGCAAGAGAAGAAAAGGCTCAACAAAAGGAGTGAGGATCCTTGCCGGATCCTCTCTATGAGAATTTGGGATCCTACAATCACATCCGTTTATTGTACATCGTGCGATCAGTTTTTGTCAAGTACTATTTATATTCAATTTTAAATAAAAAAAATTTAATGATTTATGACCGCATGATATACGATGAACGGAAGTGATTGGAGGATTCCCAAAATCCTCACAAAGAGGATCCTCCTGGCAACAAAAGAGGGTTATCTTGGACAAATAAACACTACGCACAACAGTTTAGCACAAAAATTAATCATAACATTAAAAAAGAAAAGAAAAAAAAAAGTGTGTCACGTAATAGAGAATCCTTCCCAAAAACTCACCACTGTCCCTCCACGATGATCACCAACTTGATAGCAACTACGCACAGATTAACTTCAGGGACTAAATTGGACTGGCTTAGACTAGACTAAGCTGGACTAGCTTAGTGAAGCGTTTGGTGCATTGTCGGACTAAGAAGTAAGATAATGAAAACAATATTGTCACCAGTTTGGTGTTTGCTTAGACTAGGACTACATTATTGTTCTATTTTAATTGTTTTTTTTATTAAAGATATTATTAAAATTAATAATATTGGATGAAAGTGAGACTCAATAAAAATACAAAAACCAAATTTTTTTGCCAATGAAAGAAACATACATGATTCAAGAGTAGCATTGTTTCAAACATCAATATAACAAAGTGGTCTCCCAACAATCGACAGGATTCAAGATGTTTTTCTTAATTATTCACCTTTGGTTTAAAGTTGTAGATTAAAGTTAAAGGTATTGGTTTATACTTGTATTTGTATAAAGTAGAATGAAAATTCATGCCTGACAAGTTTAGTTTTTTACTCAATTGTGAAATAATTACTTAGAATTGCTCTTATATGTGTAAGCCAATTTCAATTCATACCATGACAATTTTATTAAGCTTGTAATCTACGCTTTTGACAAAGAATTTTACTAGTACTATCGGTTGTCATCATGATATGAGGTTGTGGATTTGACGTTCAACTTGTTGTGCAATGGCAAGAGCTAGTGGTGCCTGCATCTGCACGTGAAAATTAGTAGTGGGTCGAAAAGCATTACTCACTCGAAGATGTCCCCAGTTGTTAGTCTTTATTGAAATTAATTTTGTAAATTGTACTAGTGATGTATTTAGGATGATGCTAAGCCAGCTAAGGTAAAATGGATGAGATTGTAGTCTCTATTAACAATATGCAAAAGAAAGAGAGGAGCAATTACTTCGTCATTTCATTTCATTGCACAAGTCAGTCTTCACCATTGACTGACTCTGTCAAACATCATTCACTAACTTTCCTCTAGGATATTTAATAAAGTGCACGATCAACTGCACAGCCAAAACTTCAAAAGTGATAGAGTGAGAAACCAGAAATATGTCGTGGATTCAAAAATTTATACAAATACATCAATCACAGAATGGCAATAAACATTAACAAGAAGTGATAATACAATTTCAATAAACATTAACAATACAATAGCGTCAATTCTCCTCATTAGAAATTCCAGTCAGGCCTTATTCCCATGACAATTAAATGAGTCTTATTACCAGCCGGCGATAGGTCCCAACTCCTTCACAAAGAAAGCACAAACACTATGATTCAACGAACTAAATCAATCACATATTCAGATGTTCATTGATGTTCGACTACTGAAACACTTTAAACAATGAAACGAAAGGAGACAATTGACAACTGAATTAAGGCTCAATATCAAACGAGTTGATTCGACCTAAATATCCACTACGCGCGCAAAATCGACTGAATCATGCATTCAGCAACATTCATACATTCACCTCAACACATTCATCAGATTTCCAAGGAATGGAGAGACAAGCACAGGCAGAGTTCAGAAATACTTACATTGGGGATGCTGAGGAGACCTCTATGCTAATGGAAACCTTCACTCACACTCTCACATTTTCATTCAAAATATAATTATATACAAGTTTGGGGGGATCCAAGTAGCACAGAGGAGACTAGTACTTAAGCTAAGTTCTGATCCAGACATTCATCACAGATGCATTCATAATACGGACAACATGCATACATAGAAGAACAAGCACATAAGCATATTGAGGCAAATTAATCAGATTTATGGATGCATGTCACAAAAATCATATCACAGAAGTTATATTCACAGAGATGCAACGCAGACTTTCACACATCCAAGGACTACATTCAATAGATCCACGTCGAAAATTGATATATGGGTTAAGGAATTATACCTTTACTTCTAGACTTGAGGGTTTTGAATCGTCTGTCACTTGTTTTCCCTTGGGTTCTGAGCACTGATGCCACTTCCGTTTATGCTCCTCTTCTCGCAACCTATAATGGGATCCGTACCACAAAAGCACACACATACATGCAGCTTCCTTTAGACCTCAACTTTCGGCCACAATATTATAGATAAGGTCTAAGGGGAGTTGAAGGTAGTAATTTTACATTTCGGGGAGATCGAATCCAGTTGAGATGACTACAAACACACTGAGATTCGAGACGGATGCATTTCTTGACGAATAATTTGAGTTTTGGGTCCGAATTTGGACTGAGTTTCAAGAAGATATGGTGTATTTATGAATTGTATTCCGTGGTTTTAACACAGATGTAGTTACACAAGAAATCGCAATCACTGACCCGATATTTCAAATATAACAAGAACTTGCCCGACATAAAATTTAACAGATTGACAAACTCTAACACTTAAACCTTAACTAAATCGCACTATACAACCTGCAAAAACTCAACTTAGATTCTGAAATTCAACACCTGTCAATAAACCCAGATTCCATAAATAAATAAATAAAAACAGATGGAAAAAATTCAGATACATAAAAATGGCATCTTAAAGACATTAGTTCAAAAGAACCACAGAGAGAGAGAGAGGGTTACTTCGACTGGGATCGAACGGGGAAGGAGGAGGGGCGGTTTGGGTGGAGGGTTCCTGAGAGGTCGCTTGAGAATAAGGTGGAGGAGCTCCCTCTCCTTGTCGCTGCTGCAGTTGTTGCTGTTCTTCACGTTCATATTTTCTGTTATTGAACAGAAACAACCGCCCTTGAACAGAAAATATCAAGTGCAATTTGATTTTTAGGGTCAAATTGAGGTTAGAATTTGGCTGGCCCAAATTATAATCTCAATTTGACCCTAAAAATCAAAACCCTAATTTGTTCAAATGCAGAGGTTTATTATCGAAAATTTTTTAAACCCAAAATATCTAAATCAAATAAAGCTCAATAATATCACGATCTGCATAACAAATCGAAGATTTGAAGTTTGCCAGATAAGAGGAGCAAATGAGGGCGAGCAGGACGCAAAGATGAGGGTGAGGAGGACGAGGATGAGGGAGCAGGGCAAGGAGGGAGCGATGTGCGACGACATTATTGTTAGTTTAAGATCATAAATTTGGGGTTCTTGGCTAAGAACTCCAAGCGAAGTGTATAATCCGAGCGAGTCCAATCTAATCTCATTAAACCTAATCCTTGTGCAGACCAACTAGAAATTAGTCTGATCTTGTTCAGCCCCACCTAAGAAGGTCAAACAAACACACGCTTAAGGTTAGTTTAACATCATAAATTTTATGTTATTATTGGGCCTTACATCCTTTATTTAAGAAACATGAAGTTGGGCCTGATATAATTCTAAAAAGAAAATGTCAAAATCTTTTACTATAAAAAAGAAACCCCATCAACCAAAGCAAGACATTAACCGCTCCCACCCCCACGCCTAACAACTCCCCGCTTTTGTTCTGGCATCCAATCGGGACGGCATCTCACCGCTCAGCGCCTAGGCCGATTTTAGAACAAAAAGGTAACAACTATGCGTTTCTGCTAAACTACTATTAGATCTGTAGACGCCCTTGCGGAAACAATTTTGGTTTCAAGGCCCTATAATATCTTCGTTTTCATCATGTTGGTTTGACCAGAGAAGCGGTTGAGTTCTTATTGTCCAACTGTCCATTTCTTGAACGATTATTGCTGAGTTTTGTCAAAGATTTAGTTAGTTTAAGAGTTGTTGGTCCCCCGATGGCATTGAAACAAAAAATATTGTGGTGAATTCAAATAGATTGAGATTTTTTATGCAAACATTGTTTCGTTCAGTCATCGTGGATGGCTGGCAGATTTTCATTTCAAGAATGTGTTGTTGCTGGTTGAGGTATCAATTTATAAGTTTGGCGTTCTTGCTGAATTTATAAGGGGTGCCTTCAGCTGACTCTCATGCCATGTTATTATATATGATGTGCCAGTTTTCTTTTCTGGTTGTATTGTTCCTAATTCCTTTGTTGGCTTTCAGGTTTACCATCAGAAGTATAAATTTCCCCTTTGGAATTATTAGTTGATGCCTACTACAGTTTATCCCTTGCTCGCTTAGCTTCTTTCATGAAGGCAGCTCCTCACTTGCATAAACTTGTTTTGGGGTATGTATGCATCTGTTATCGATACATTACAAATTAAAACTTGATATTTTGTATGTATGCATTGAGAACAAAAGTTAAATGTTTTGAGTTTTGTTAAACTGTTTTCCTTGCTGCAGTTGGGTTTCGGATCCAATGTGGAGATGGCAAAAATAGAGAAAGCTTCCAAGTGGCCCATCAGAACCTCAAGCTAGTAGAAATAGCAGAAATAGCAGGGTTTCATGGTCACAAATGGTGTGTTAAGCACGTTACGTTCTTGATGAAGAGTGCTGTTGCATTGTAGAAATTGTTATAAACCTACAAATGCCAGAATGGAAAATTCTGCCATGCCCACTTAATAAATAAGTTGCATATGGAAGACAAAGAAAATTCAAAAACCGGGCGATTCTTTGGATCAAAACTGTTGGAGAAGTTATTCATGGTATCGTGATTGTTTGCTTTTTAGTGTACCCATTATTCTTCTACATTTCTATTCTCAAGGATAATGGGAACCTAGAAGAATAATGGATCCACTAAAAGAGCACACAAACACGATGCTATGAATATCTTCTTCTAGTAATTTTGATCTAAAGACTCGTCAGGTTTTTGAATTTCCTTTGTCTTCCATATGCAACTTAATTTATCTTCAGATTGCATGGCCATGACAGAGTTTTCCAGTCTAGCCTGTGGATTTTAATCAGAATTACTAGACAAAAGACAACAAATGTAATATAAGGTACTTATGAATATCAAATGCCTGTGGATTTTAATCAGAATTTCCCCCTCTTTTTTTTTCTTGTCGATGGCAGCATCCATGACCCTTTTGACTTTGATCCACTCTCACTAGCCAGCACACCTAAAACTTTGTTCGATTTATTCATGCCGAAACAAGATATGGTTTTGTTTGATCCACCCTCACGCATCTCTTGTTATTTTAGCTAAAGCAATATGTGTGCTTATCATATCTTTTCAAATATAAAAGATTAGGCCTAATCGGATAAATGGTCTCCGTGGTTATAAGGTCTTTAGAAGGTAGTCATGTGGTAAAAAAAATTCGGATTTAAACCTTTGTGGTCAAAGTCTGTTAGGATTTATGCCCAAAATTGAAACTTCCATCATTCATCCGTTAGTATCATGCATCTGAGTGTCACATGTGAGAATTAGATGGTCATTTCATCCCCTATTTCATCCCTTCCATCTTGATTGATGCTGCTGCTCCTTCTTCAAAGGTAAGTGACAAGTGATGGAATGTGGAATCCAAAAAAGCAATAAGATTTGTTCTACTGCTATTAAACAACTAATTGGCTTTATGCCTCCTAGTTTGCTCTGTTTGTTTTCTTTTTGTTGCCTTCTTCCCTTTCAAAACCCTACAAATAAACCCCTATATATACCACTAAGAAGGAGACTGGAAAACAGAAAAAACTTTCAAGCATAATAAGGAGGAGATCGACTGGAAAAAAAAAAAAAAAAAGAAACCGACTGAAAAAAAAAAAAAAAAAAAAGGCCTTTGAAGCAAAAAAGAAGAAGCCTTTGAATTTACTCCTTTCATCTGGAGCGAAATTTGATTTAAAGATGGTGGACATATGATCTTGAATCGGACTTGTGATTTCTTCAAGATCCTTAGAACTTGTTTTTGAATGAAATCCTAACATATCTTTAATTTAAAAAAAAATAAAAACTTTCCACTCTCACATTCTCTCTCTCTAAAAAAAAAAAAAAAATAAATCAAATAAAAAAATTCTCTTCTCACACACTTGGGTACCCGTATGCTAGTATTAAAAAAATATAACAAAATAAAATAAAATAAAAAAAATAAAAAAACCTATCAAACCCTAGCAGATCATTAGCCGCACCCCACCCCTACTTCTCTCTCAAATCTCATAGTAGCACACTCTCACTTCGATCTCCCTGTCTGCGTCAGATCATATATTTCTCCCTCCCTCCATTCCTCTCTGCACTATCTCCCTCTCTCTCTTTCACTCCCTCGTCAGATTTCATGGACGAATCTGCAGTGATTCGATGCGACCGGATGTGGAAGGCGACGAGGAGAACGGCCTAGCACCACCGCCTAACACCGCCTAGGAGCGCTTAGGCGGGCGCCTAACAACTCCCCGCTTCTGTCCACTGTTTGGCACCCAATCAGGACGGCACCTCACCGCTCAGCGCCTAAGGCGATTTTTTTGACACTAAGGTAATAACGGTACATTTCCCCAAAAACTAGAAACAATTTTGGTTTCAAGGGCCTCAAAGCTCCTCGTTTTTATTGTACAACTGTCCAGTTCTTGAACGATTATCCCTGAGTTTTGCCCAAGATTCAGTGAGAGTTGTTGGTCCCTAGATCGTTGAAATATAAAAAAGATTGAGATTTTATGCCAACATTGTTTCCTTTAGTCATCGTGGATGGCTGGCAGATTTTCATTTCAAGAATATGCCATCGCTGGTTGAGTTATCCTTTTATAAGTTTGGCGTTCTTGCTGAATTGATAAGGGGTGCCTTCGGCTGATCTCATGCCATTATGATGCGCCAGTTTTCTTGTCTCGTTGTTGTATTGTTTTGTTTGCTTTCATGTTTACCATCAGAATTCTAAATTTCCCATGCTAAATCTGAAGCATTTGGAATTAGTAGTTGATGCCGACTACAGCTCGATTAGCTTCTTTCTTGAAGGCAGCTCCTTACTTTGTATAAACTTGTTTTGTGGTATGCATGCATTTGTTATCGACACATTAGAATGTAAAACTTGATATTTGTATGTATGCACGTGCATTTGTATAATCTCTCGATCCTTTCACCAATAGTTTTGAGTTTTGTTGAACTGTTTTCCTTGGTAAGAATTCTTTTACCAATGGTTTTGAGTTTTGTTAAACTGTTTTCCTTGATGCAGTTGGTTATCAGATCCAATGTGGAGATAGCAAAAATAGAGAAATCTTCCCAGTGGCCCCGTCAGAACCTCAAGCTAGTAGAAATACCAGTGTATAATGGTCACAAATGTTGCGTCAAGCAATTCAAGTACTTGATGAAGAACGCCATTGTACTGGAGAAGATTGTTATAAATCTTGTTCGATTTTGGTGTTTGTCTACGGCAATCGAGCAAGTTCCTATGGGAGAATGAGTAAATTTTAAGGCCAGACTGGAAAACTTCGTCATGCCATGCAACCTGAAGATGAATTAAGTTGTATATGGAAGACAAAGTAATTCAAAAAGCTTATGGAAGACAAAGTAATTCAAAAAGCTAATGACTCTTTGAATCAAAAGTACTGGACAGAGATATTCATAACATCGTGTTTGCGTTCTGTTTTAGTGTATCCATTATTCTTCTGCGTTCCCATTCTCAAGGATGATGGGAACTTAGAAGAACAATGGATCCACTAAAACAGCACATAAACACGATGATATGAATGATGATATGAATATCTTCTTCCATTACATTTGATCCAAAAAGTTGTCAGATTTTTGAATTTCCTTTGTCTTCCATATGTAACTTAATTTATCTTCAAGTTGCATGGACATGACAAAGTTTTTCATTTTGGCATTTGGATTTGAATCAGAATTACTGAACAAGAACCCCAAGTAGTAGAAATGGCAGGGTATCATGGTCATGGATGTTGCATTAATCATGTCAGGTACTTGATGAAGAATGTTGTTGCATTAGAGAAGATGGTTATAAATCCTGTCCAGTTTTGGCGTTGGCCTATGGGAATCGAGAGCAATGCCCTGCGGGAGAATGAGGGAAAAAATGCAAAGAGAATGCAAGTGCTCATTCTATCCATTACCTCAAAGAAAAATGCCCTCTACCGTAGAATATTAGAATTGGTATGCATGTATTAGTAACTAATAATTGCATCGCAGTGCTTGTATTAACAATATATCTAGAGTTTGTAGTAGTGTCAACTATTAGGCTTGAGCCTTTGACTTGTACGCCTGCATTGTATTAACTATGTTCTTTGAGCCTTTTTTGAGTCTTCTTGGCTGCTTCTTTTGTAGTACTTTCTTCTTCTCTTCGCTTTCACCCCCTCACCCAGTAATTTCACTCTATCAAATTCAGATTCCCGTTTCAAACTGGATCACATTGCTGACCACCTCTCCTCTCCTAACAGAGGCGGGCGCCAATATTGCATATGATACCCACTTGCATTAGAGAGTCGGTCCATAATGCAGTCTTTCTAACACTATTTTATACATGCTTTACAATGTCCGGTAGTTTTTCACGTTAGAGTTTGATGTCGCAACTGTAATAGTAGAGAAAAAAATATTTATAGACACGAATACACTGTCACTGTGGTGTTCGATTCCATGAAAGTTTCTCTTGTAATCTTGATGTGTGGGTTACAGTGGCCCAACAGATGTTGACCCAACAAGAAACATGTGAGCCCACATTTGAAGCCATGAAAGTTGCTCTTGTAATCTTGGCTGTGTGGGCTACAATGGCCCAACATATATTGACCCAAAAAGAAACATGTGAGCCCACATATCGACATTCAATATCTCAAACGTGGTGGGCTGAGCCCAGAATCATTGGTGTGCCCCATTGCCTGACAAAGAAACAAAAGAGTATTCTTACGTCTTGATAGTCACATACTTGTCCAAACACCTACTTTTTGGACACACTAATTAAATTTCGAGCTACTTGTAGAAAATCCCATTCATTATTTATTGCCCTAGCTATTTTCTGTGACAATCTTTGTTACGTGTTCTTATCAGTTTGTTGATGTTATAATCAAGAAGGTACATCATTACGTGATAGTATCAATTAATTGATATCATAATAAGAAGAACATATCTTTTTTTTTTCTCTCGTACAAAAAAAAAAAGCTCTTAACTTTCAATAAAAACAACGGTTAATTATTTTTATACTTTAATGTTACATTAGGGTTATAAATAATATTCCAAGTGAGCACCCCAAAAGTGCTTTTCTCATGAGTACTCAATCATCCAAATCATAGAGTTCAAAATTAAAACAATAACAAATTCCCAATAGAATATCATAGTACTATGTACACAAAATCATCAATTCCGATAGCTAGCCCTAAATTCTGCAGCATTTTCTGTAATGCTGTCCAACTTCTCAATCTAATATTTCCTCTTTTATTTTGTCCAACACTTTTCCACTAGTAGATTATGGGTTTTAAGTTCTTTGTTTATCTTCACTACTAGAAACTGATCAGTTGTTCAGTTGTGTATCGGAGGTTTTTTCTTCGCCGGAGAATAGTCCATTTCCGTCATGTCTGCGAGATCCGGATAGTGTTGGTGAGCTGCAGCCGCCTCCTGCTGCTTAGAAACAAATGGTGATTTTGCTTTGCCATTCCCATCTTCTCCACCATGGCTATTAACATTTTCGCCTTTCGGTTCGGAGTCAGCTCTATTTTTCCTTCCTTTCTTATCATTCTGTACATGGATCACATATAGGAAGTTTTCACATCTAACCCTTAGATATTATTAATATAGTATAGTTATTTTGATTAATTAGGAACCAACCTTTGAAGTGGTAGTAGCACTAGAGGGGGAAGTCACAGAGATTAGTTTTCTAGTTCTTCCTGCAACAATACAAATGAAAACCACTTGATTAATTTGGGTAGGTCTTTTGTTTTTCACAGAAACTTTAATTTACTGCATTGACTTAAAAGAAAATGGTCATATGATTACAGTAAAATTCATGACTAGTACAAAGTCAATGGTTAGATTAGTTTTTGTGGACAACAGTGGTTGCAGAATACATGGTAATTATAGAGGTTTCATTCTTCTGAAAACTCAATACTAAAAACGAAATTGTTATCCGACTACGGTCATTTTATTAATAGCAGAAAAATGGATAAAGAAGAGCGCCTTGACGATCTAGCTAGGTGGCTCTAGAAAAGTAACTAAGTAATGCTAATGGTGCTTGGGTCTGTGATGCCTAGGTCCGCAATAATCTTCATGAATATTTGGTAACTGGTGGTGTGACGACTTCTTGGATTCTCTAAAAACTGTTTTCTTCAAGGTACCTGATGATGCAATATTACTAGGCTCTCCTGCAAGACCAGCTGCTGCAATATTACTTCTTTTCATTGAAGCATTTTCCTCTTCCTGCATTTAGCAGTAAAATTATGGACTTAATGTAAGAAAAACGTTGACTATAAGAATGAGAAACTGGAAACGTATATAGGACGAGCTTCATAAGGGATTCTGTTGTACTACAGCAAAAAGGGGTTAGGTTATATCACTTGTACCATGTTTTTCATATGTATATTTCATCCACATATATTATCTATAACGGGATAACCTATCCTGTTTTTGCTACAGTGGAGCGGGGTATTCCCCAGAACGAAGAACAGAAGTACTCACTTGGATATTTTTGTTCTGCTGTCTAACTGAGCTGAATCCCTTCTCCAGACGAATCCCTTCAAGGAAAAGAAACAAAAATAAGTAAATTTGAGAAACCAAAATTTCATACAATAACTAGACGTATATAAGTGAACATATTTTGCACGTATATATATAATTATATATGTACCTTGAGCCTGAGAAAGGAGGAGGCACAAAAGAAGAAGAAGAAGAGAGACTGCCAAAGATGAAGTAGTCATTTGGAGTAAATCTTATGAGTCTGCAGATATGGCAGCCTTGGCAGATCAACTCTGAGAGAAGAGATGGGAAAGGATTGGATGTCAGGAACAAAAGTGTTGTGTTTTTTTATGAATCGTTTACGGTTTGGGAGATGCCTGCTTAAATACATATACACACACACATATACATATATATGAACTTTGGGCCCACATTTAATTTCTTCCCAACATGTAACTTGTAGGGTGGGTTCGAAAAATTAAAAACCAAAGAGAAAAAAAAAAACTGAAAGCCGAACCGAAACCCAAAAAAGGGACTGAAATTAAAAATCGAACCAAACTGAAATCATAAAAATATGACGTCTTTTTTACCTCCTAGTCAATACGATGTCATTTTTACCCTGTAATCCTTTTTCGTTTTGCTTCGGCCAGCCTTCGTTTTTCTTCTTCGTTTTCTCCCCCGCGCCGTCTCACTCTCAGAATCTCACATGGCAATCTTGCTTATTCACTGTGACACAGTCCACCGTCTAGGTTCTTCCATTCAATTTTTATTGAAGTGATAAGAGAAACGGGAGTTTTAGTTGGGGATGCACTCTAGCTCATATATCTTAATTAACCCTTTTTCGTTTGAGTTCTAGGGTACTTTTCTGAAGCGATTTTGGTAGGAAAGTTTGTGATAATATCCTTTCTGAAATAGCCGTGCCCATTGTGCAGTCAAAGGCGTAGCCGCCTAGTTCAATCCTCTTATTATATGTTTTTTTTTTTTTTTTATAGTAGCCTAATTGTAGAAAAGTTTGTAGTACTATCCTTTTATTATATGTTTTTTATTTTAGATATTTCCATACCAACCATTATTTCATAATCCTCTTATAGCACAAGTGGACAGATGATTGATCCACATTGTAATTTTTAAGTCCAAAAATAGTAGAAGCTTTGATATGTTTTAAAACTGGCATAGATCTATCCACATCAGGGCCGGCCCTAAGTATTTAGGGGTACTGTCCAAAACTTAGATGGAGGCACTTCATTTTTTTATAATGTTATATATATATATATATATATTTCAATTTTTTCATTTATAAAACTAAAATATTACAAGTTACTGCAACAAAAATAAGTTGTTTGATTGGCCAGGTTTTTTCCCTTACCTTGTCCTGAGTTCGATACATGTTGGATGCATTTTTTTTTTCTCCTTTTTAAGTTTACAAATTTACAAAAGCTTAAAATAGCAAAGCAATATCCCAAGGATTCAAACCCAACACATGAGCTATATGGTAGAAGAGCTAAGCTGCTAGCGCTAGAACGACATATGAGATTGTCTTTGGCATCTAATCTATTTTATAAGCATCTGTATACATGTAACGAAAATTTGGGGGCCCTATGTGGTGGCACCTTGTGCACACTCTCAGGGCCGGTTCTGATCCACGTTGCATTACATATAAGCCAACTATTGAGGAAATTGAGTTTTGTGAAGAAGTTGAGAAATATATTCTTATTTATTGTATAAATTATATGAGTTTGTTAGATTATTTTAAAATAATGTTTTAATTAGATGTTCTTTCTCTTTTTATTTGTATGTAGAAGTGGCAAGTACAAATCAAAATGTGCTATGATACCCCCTAGACCGCCTAATCTGTAGCAAGCAAATTTTCATTCAAACTTGAAATGGTTAGGTGTGAAGCGTTGAGCTTGAGGGCTTGAAGAAGTGTGCAAGACATAGAACTTTGAATATTTATTTGAAATCATGATTGGAGTTGGAATGTTTATTTTAATTTTAGAATAACAATTTGCAGTTTGGAATTTGAGATGTTTATTTTAAGTGTGGAACACTCAACTTTGAATGTTTAATTTAAGTGTGGAAGACTTGAATAATGTTTATTTTTAGTTTGGAAAACTTAAACTTGGAATGTTTATTTTAAGTGTGGAAGACTTGGATTTTAATGTTTATATTTAAGTTTGGAAGTCTTGAACTTAAAACATTTATTTTAAAACCGAACTAAACCGAACCATATTCACCCCTAATAACTAATAACTTGGGTGGGATAAAGTTTAAGTCTTTGTCCAAGGAAATTAAAAATATTATTTATAAGGATATAATAATAAATTGGATTAAGGTTGTGTTAATGAAATTCCAGTTCAAAAAGCAACTGATTATGGGGGACAAGAAGTGTCGTTTACTCATACATAAATTATGAAAAGCAGATTTTCTTTGCAAGTTCCTCACACTCGGCCTTCTCTGCGTACAGTATGCATTGCGTTTGTTAAATGTCCCATCTTTTTGGGGTTATGAACTTAGGATGAAGATTTCCTGAATCCTCTTTTCAAATGTTGTTTTAAATATCAATTAATTGACCAAGATCATTCACAGGTTTGCTCTATTTACTCGAGAGTGAGAATTAAGTACGACTGGATATATATATTCTATTGTTTACATCATTCATGACGTAAAAAATAAAATAAAGAATGATACAAACACGATAGTGAAACGTATTAATACACTCAGTTAAAATTACACTATTTAGGTTTAGTCCAATCTTCTCAATTCTCATATGCATGCATGATGTATCAATCCCATTTCACAACCCATACACCTTTGCCTTTCCATGTTGTATCTCATTTTTTCATGCAACAAATGAAAGAAACAGATATTTTCGTGGGATCAGAGTCAGACAACCTGCTTTGCCAAGTACTACTTACCAACTACTATGCATTATACGTTATTTTGTTAGTCAACGAATTGAAGGTTTGCATTTGGAGAAAGCCAACAAAATCATATGGGGCTACAAAGCATAGGCATTCCCTTTTGGCTGATTAATCAGATCAGATGGGGCTATTATGGACATGACGGATGCAGCTGGATATATGTATAGACTCTATGCATCTCCTGGGTGACTTTTCGTTCGTATGATATGGTTGATTGGAGTGAGGGGATGGGACGTCCGCACTGCATGGTGTGATTCATCAACAATTTGGTAAATGGAAACTTCAAGTCTACTTACCTAATCAGGTTATAACTAGAATGCTACAATGACGTCGGTTTTCCAAACTAAAGTATTGTCAAGTTAAAAAGTTTAAGCACATAACACGGTTTAATGAATTTGGATTACTTCTACAATAACGTCTTAAGTTGAAGAGAATAACTTTACTTTATCTCTCTCCTTACATTGTTAGTTAGGGTGCAGGGTTTAAGTTTTATGTTAATTTTCTATAGATATATAGTAAATATATAATTACCATGTAGAAGTGTTTCAATACTATATGTCATGTGCTTGGTATATTTTGACAAGATGATATTTGTACATAACATAATGTTAAAAATTACACTAGTTTACAAGAAAAGACAATTTGAACTTGATGAAAACAAAAAACGCAGTTATGATGAACTGACCTAATGGTATTCAAAGTCCCTTGACTAAAACTTTAATGGTATTCAAAGTTTGATCAAAGTCACCTAACTTTGCACACCTCATTATATTACTATTACTATTTATATTTTTATAGTTTTGACATTAATTGTTTGATATTTTATGAGATTTATAATCCTATAAATTTAAAATCTCTCATTATAATACTATTAGAAACGGCTACAATAAAAAAATTCAAACATTTTAATTGAATAAATGGATAAAAACTATGTAACAATAAGAAATAATAAATGGCAAAAGAATGTATCCATAGTGTTAAAAAAATTGGTACATTTCACATATAACAAAGTGGTACATTAATAAAGAATAATGGGTACATTATAAATAAATTAGGGTACAAATAAAAGATTAAAAAATATGAGTACAAATGAAATTTTTAAAAATATGGGCGCAAAAAGAAATTAATACATGGGTTGTGACATCCCACATCGCCCAGGGGAGTGATCCTTATATGTATATTCACATCCCTACCTAGCAGGAGGCCTTTTGGGAGCTCACTGGCTTCGGATTCCATTGGAACTCCGAAGTTAAGCGAGTAGCGCGCGAGAGCAATCCCATGATGGGTGACCCACTGGGAAGTTCTCGTGTGAGTTCCCAGAAACAAAACCGTGAGGGCGTGGTCGGGGCCCAAAGCGGACAATATCATGCTACGGTGGTGGAGCGTGCCCGGGAAGTGATCCGCCCCGGGCCGGGATGTGACAATTTGGTATCAGAGCCTAACCCTGATCGCGTGTGTGCCGACGAGGACGTCGGGCCCCTAAGGGGGGTGGATTGTGACATCCCACATCGTCCAGGGGAGTGATCCTTATATGTATATTCCCATCCCTACCTAGCAGGAGGCCTTTTGGGAGCTCACTGGCTTCGGGTTCTATTGGAACTCCGAAGTTAAGCAAGTAGCGCGCGAGAGCAATCCCATGATGGGTGACCCACCGGGAAGTTCTCGTGTGAGTTCCCAGAAACAAAACTGTGAGGGCGTGGTCGGGGCCCAAAGCGGACAATATCGTGCTACGGTGGTGGAGCGTGCCCGGGAAGTGATCCGCCTCGGGCCGGGATGTGACATGGGTACAAATTAAAACTAAAAATAAAATACTACAAATTTAAAAAAGATTGCAAACTAAAAGTGGGTACAAACTAAAAATATAAATATATGACACAAAGTTTAGCCATAAAACATAAATATACCATATGTAATTTTTCTATCATTGATTAATTATACAATGTCACGTGACAGTAAACACATGGGCGCAAATACAAATAAAACTTTAAAAAATATGGGCACGAAAAGAAATTAATATATGGGTACAAATTATTGAAAGAAAATTGGTACAAATTAAAAAAGGTCTGCAAATTAAAAATGGGTACAAACTAAAAATAAAAATATATGATAAAAAATTTAGCCATAAATATAAATATACTAATTGTAACATTTTTAACACTAAATGAATATTTTTAGATAAAAATATTTTATTATTGAAATAATTAATGATGTTATTAATACCCAAGGACCTTGATTAAAAATTAAAAATGAATAAAGTTTTAATCAATGGAGTAGTAAAAATATTTAAAACTAATTTGTGTTGATATTTTTGCTATTCAAGTAACAATATGCTAATGACATCTTAAAAGAATTTCAATGAACTATCGCATCGGTGAATTAGGCTGTGTCACATGTTGAGCTACCAAACGAAGTGGGCAGCAAGCCCACATGTCACCGGCGACAAGGCAGAGTAAATGCGACGGCGACAGGCGAAGATGGAAGTCACCATTTCACAACGCCTACCGACGTGTCAGTAATGTCTCTAGCTTCTGGCTGCCTGCTCAAGTCACGACCGCTCCACGTGGACGTCCACATCTGGCGGATCCCACCAGAATATGACGTGGAAAACAATTTCCACGTGGGCACCGTCGCATCACGATGCATGTCAGTGCTTTAACCATCAAGGAAACATCCCGGGACGACGTTTGTCGAAGTTGCCATGCGCGCGGGAATGGGACGGCTTTCGTTAACGATCTCTTTTCACGGCAGTTTGCTGATCAATGTGCTTATTATTGCTAATTAGATTTCATGACTTAATATTGAAGCGTGTTATTATTTTTTTAGTTAAAAGGAACAAAATCATAGTCTTCAATTTCCTAGCTTCATTGTTCTACAATTCCATTATAAGCATAACAAATCTTAGCTATTGGTTATTTAACATGGTATTACATATTACGGTTTT